GGTATGCGCGCGAGGGAGGGGTTAGAGACGCAAGCACTGCCAGCACGCAGCCTGATGGGGGGTTGTCGGGGGGGTGGAGAAGTGGGGAAGAGGGCAGGGTGAGTGGATGAGTCGAGTGGGGTCTGTAAGTGGAGACTGGGGAAAGTATCCTGAGATACTGAGCTGTTGGGCTCCTGCTGCCTTGCTACCTTGCTGCCTCACTCCCGTTTCCCTCTCTCTTGCCTCACCTCTTCCACGAGCCACCAGCTGGGTTGTTGGCAGGCGCAAGCACAAGTCACTCGCCGTCCTCTCCCCTCTCCCTTCCTCCCCCATCTCCCCAACCCCACGTCCTCTCCCCCCACCCTTCTCTCTCAACCCCTTCATCCCCTCACCCCTCCCACCACCTCCATTCCTCCTCGCACCTCCCCCATCCCCTCCTTTGACTAAGTCCACACTCGCTGCCACGAGGTCCGGAAAGAGTTGACCGACGTTGACTCGTGAGAAGTCAAGCCAAGCTAGACTGGTCAACGCCTCCACTGCAACTCTGCTCTGCACGTCCCTCCATGCCCATGCCACCACTCCCATTTCCCTTGCCGAATCATCTCCGCCCTCCACCCCGCTTCTGCCATTCCATTCCCGATCTCCATCCTCCCCATTCCTCCCCGTGACCTCATTCCCTTCATCAGCAGCGTCGCACACCCTGTCGCCTACTCTCATTTCTGCAGCAACCACTGTAGCCCCTGCTGTGGCTGATGCTGCTGCAGGCGCTGCAGGCACTGCTGCTGCTGCTGCAGTGGCTGCTGCAGGCGTCCTTGCCAGCCTCGCATCTGTGAGTGACTCGTCCTCCTCCTCCTGCTCCTCCTTCACAGCAAGAGCTGCCACAGTGCTGCTGATACTCGACAGTACAATGCATGTGGCCGCAAACGCACCAGCCCTCACCATTGTTGCTGCCTCTGCTGCTCTCTGCAGCAATGCAAGGTCGGACGCATGGCTGGGCTTGATGCTGCTTCTTCGATCTCGGCCATTACTCCCAGCTCCATTTGCTCCTGATATAGCAGCAGCAGCCGCTACCGTAGTGCCGGCTGCTGCTGCTGCTTCTGCTGAAGCAGCAGCAAGAGCGTGCAGGGACGCAGCAAACATGCGATGGGAGCAGTTGAGGGAGATGGAGAAGCGGGTGAGGGTGTGTGCCAGGGAGACGAGCGAAGCACGGTGGAACCGGGGAACGGCAGGAGGAAGAGGAGGAGGAGGAGGGGGCGGGAAGGGCACGAGAGATTCGGCCGTAACGGCAGCAGCTGCAGAACGCCTACGACCTCCTCTGCTTGCAGACCCTGCTGCTGCTTTCAACACTTTCTCATCTCCTCCTCCTCTTCCTCCTGCTCCTGCCTCTCCTGTTCCTCTCCCCACACCATCAGCAGCAGCAGCAACAACGGGTTCCATGGCCTTGACAGCAGCAGCATGCAGAGCAGGCAGGCCGTGAGAGCCCTCCACCAGGTCACACACACAGCGGGCCATTGCCCCTGCCTGCTGCACCCACGGCCCCTCCACCCACAGCGGTAAAGCTGCCACCACCTGCCTGCTCGCTGCTGGGGTAAACCCCTCCACCGCTTCCAGCCCATTCAAAACCTTCACCACCTCCAACCCCTCCGAACCCCCTTGTAATGCTCGGGCTTGCATCTGTGTTTGTGCATGCGCTGGTGCTTGTAGCCCCTGTGCTGCATGTGCTACCGGCACTGCCTGAGGTGCTTGTGCTTGCAAATGGCTCTCTGCATCTGCATGCGCATGCAGCGCAAGGGAAGCAGCGGCAGCATGCCACGGCCCGAGCTGCAGACAGTCAGAAAACACGGCAGCGGCCATGCACTCTAGCGCCGCACCATCTGTGCCATCCCCAGGTTTGTTCACAGCATGTACAGTCATGAGGCCAGGTCTGCCCCCTGCCATGACCTGGCACAGGGAGAATGCCACTGCTCTCAGGAACACAACAGCTGCCCACTGCTGCTGCTGCCCGCTACTACTGCCTCTGCTGCTATTACTACTACTGTTGCTGCCCTTCTGCCCTTCTGCAGAAGCAGCAGCAGCAGCAAGCAGAGGTACCTGGGTCCAGCACAGGTCACGAGGAAGGCCAGCAGGAGACATTGCCTCCACCTCTTCACCTGCCCACCTCCTCGCCTCTTCCGTCCCCACATCTCCCTCCACTCTTCTCTGCTCCTGGCCTGGGGATGGTGTGGAAAGAGGGAGGGTAGAGCGAGATAGAGTGGAAGGAGTGACAGCAGCGAGTGATTGGGAGGAGGCAGGCCAGGGGCAGGCGGAGCGGGCAGCAGAGAGCAGGAGGTGTTCCAGGGCGCAGAGGGCGGGGAAGAGCGCAGGGCTGTACGCGCCTATCGCACTGGCTAGTAGCTGGGCGGAGGGGGATGCTGCACTGCTGCTCTCACTGCGCCCCTTGCTGCCGCTGCCGCTGCTGGTGTTGCCTCTGTTGCTTTTCAGCCAGCCCCGCGCCTCTGCTTCTGCCTGTGCCTGGGCGGCAGCAACAGCAGCAGCTGCTTCTGCCCCGGCAGCAGCCAGGGCTGCGGGGCCGTCCCTCCCCACGGCCTGTGTGAGAGCATGGGGGCGTTGCACCGAGAGGTGGTGGTAGCGCGCAGCAAACAGACCCCTCAGCACACCGCTCACACACAGCACTGCCACTGGTGCACTCAGGGGGATGAGCGGCAGGGGAGGAACGGATGGATGGGTGGGGGAGGGCAGGGCTGCTGCGAGCACTGAGTGGAGGGAGACGAGGAGCGAGGCTGTTTGTGTGGGTGGGAGCAGCACGGCAGTGCGAGCAATGACGAACTCTAGGCACCGAACCACTGCAGACCAGAGAGGCACATCCGGTCCCACTAGCACCGCCGCTGCCGCTGCTGTGACCTCTGATGCTGTGGCGTCGTTTCCTCCGCCTGCCGCTGTTGCTGCTGCTGATGTGAGTGCTGTGGATTGCAGTGGTGCAGGCTTGTAGGCCAGAGGCCAGAGGCAGAGCATGGACGAGAGAAGCGCAGGGAAGGACAGGGGCGGCGGTTCTGAGGCACTGGGAGGAGGAAGAGGTGGGGATGGGAGGGGAGAAGAGAGTGAGACGGGAGGTGGGGAATGGGAGGTAGATGTGGAGGTGGGGATGGGTGCAGGAGAGGGGCCAAGGAAGGGAGAGGGGGAGGGAGTGAGAGTGCATGCGAGCATGGCATAGCCCATGCCTAATAGGGCCTCCTTAAAGCTGGAATGCACGATGGCGTGCGGGCAGTGGCGCATGGCCGTGTGTAGTGATGCCGACATGCCGTACATCAGCTCATGCCTCGCACTGCTTTGTGCCTCACTCTCCTGCTGCTGCTGCTGCTGCTGCTGGTACTGGTGCTGCTGCAGAGGCTGTGCGATGCAGTGGCAGGCAACGCCAAGGAGGTACACTGCAGCAGACACGCACCCTCCCACTGCCGCCTCTGTTCCGTTCCCCCAACCATCCTGCACACCGCCACCAAGCCCATGACAATCCCGAGGGCCATACGCGCCCTGGGCTCGGCCAATGATCGTACGAGCCGCATCGATACCGCCACTGATCACCTGCCACTGCGCACCACTGACGCCATGAAACCCGCCCATCCCTCTACCTCCTCCTGCCTTTCCTCCTGCAACCGTGCTGCCTTGACTGTTCCCCAGCCTCTTAACCGCAGCGGACTGCTGCCGCACTTTCCTGATCCACGCCCCCACCACCAGCAAGCAGCTCGCCGCGATCTCCGCCGCGATTCCAGCGACTCCTGCACCTTCAGAGACGAATACGTCCACATTCACCGTTTTTCGCGCGACGAGCCGCGTCAGCAGCTCGACCAGAGACGCGGCTTGGGCATCCCGAGCCGCGAGGATGAAGCGCAGCCGCCGCAGCAGCGTCAAATGCGGGCGCAGGGCGACGAGCTGGTCACGCGTCAGCGCGGAAGCCGGCGACGCCGCTGAATCCGCCGCAGAATCCGCCGCACCAGCCGCGGCATCGTGCACGGATTTCCACGCGGCGGCGATAGCCGTTGAAGAGAAAGCCGAGGCGGCGGCGGAAGGAGGAGGGGGCGAAAGCAAGGCATCGTCGGAAGGACCGAGCGCAATCTCTAACGGGAAGAGCACGTCCATTGCGGGCGGATAGACGATGCTCACATGGTAGCGGCGCGCCTCGCAGGAAAAGACGTGCGAGGGAGGACGAACCTGAGTGCGAGAACCTGAGGAAATGGATGTGCGCCTCAGCAATGACGTGAGCTTTATTTAGAAGCACGACTATCTCACGTATTTTTATCACCCATTTCTCCATGGAAGATTAGGTTAGCATTGAAAATTAAAGGCAATTGTTGCATTTCACCAGGCCATATGAATTTGGGAAACACGATTGTAAGATCAACTGTACGGCCCACAATTTCTCCCCTCGATCTTGAGGGGGCCTCGTCTTTGTCACATTCACGAAACGCGTTGGTTCTCATTGGCTGGAACCCCCCACCAGCCCCTTTTCCGAAGCGCCCGATAGGGGAAGTCATCTTGGGAACATCGAAGGGAAGTGGCCACCACCAACATCATCCCAACCATCCAACCTAACCCAACCTAGCCTAACCCATTACAGTGCCTCGAGCTAGCCCTATCCGCTTGCTTGCTATGATGTATTGTCTTTCTAGTACTTAGCCCCCCTCAATTTAGCTCCTTCAAAACTAGGCAGTTCAACCACCAGGGGTCTAGTGTAGTGTCAACTTCGTAGGTCCGACTGGTAATGACAATGGTTCTCTCGCAATCCCAAGTCCCGGTTTCCAATTTCCCAGTAGCGGTTCCGCTGGTTGTAAGCATCCGTCAGCTTTTCCAATTCCGGGCGAATGTTAGTTAGTAGTTGCGGGCATTTCTTACCAATGTGGCACTCGCACGCCGTGTCCAATTACCACTAGTAGAAGTATTTCCACCAGCCGCGTGTGGCCTTGTCGCATCAGCGTGCTGCCCCCTCGACCATGCTCGTATCGCAACAGATTCCCCACAATCATCCAATGACGCCACTCCTCTGTTGCAGAATACGAGGGAACGCGCGACTCGCATTCGCGACACGCGACTCCCTCGTGTGCGCGACTCTCGCGTGCTTGCTCGCCGCCTGCTGGGGTCGCGTCGAGGGCGCGATGGCGGCGCAGGGCGGCGACCGCCTGCCGCGCCTGATTCTGATGCAGAACAACTCCTTCGGCGCTAAATGCCTCGACGGCAGGTGCGCTCCGCTATCAAGCGTCCGCCGTCCCGTGTGATTCGTAACGTCCCGTGTAAGCGTACGCAACGGTTTACGCAACGGTTATAAACGGAAAAACCAAAGCAATTTCAACGGTCATCTTGTTTGAATCAAGAACAAAATGCTCACTCCGCACTCATGGTACCTTCTCCCCTTTCACGTTAATCCCTTGCCTCCTCCCCCAAGAGCAGTCCTCCCGGGTACTACTTCCGCCCAGGTGCGCGCGCCGGGGTGCGCAAGTGGGTGGTGCACTTGCGCGGCGGAGCCTGGTGCGCCTCTCCCCTCGCGTGCGCCTGGCGGGCCAGGGGCATGCTCGGATCTTCGCGCTATTTGGCCCGCTCCCCCAAGGTGCGCACTCGTTCCCCGCCGCGCTTCCCTTTTCCGTCTCCCGTAACACCCTCCCCTCCGCCAATACCGCCTCCGCTCAATGGCGTTTCTCCTCTTCCCCGCCACTCCCCCGGCCACCACTCCCGCCATCTCCCCCCGGTCTTCCCCTTTCCGCAGGACCCGCGGATCTCCGAGTCCCTGGGCGGAATCTTGAGCGCGGATCCGCGGGAGAATCCCGGGTTTGCGGAGTGGAGCCTGGCGGTGCTAAATTACTGCGACGGGGGGGGATTTGCGGGGACGGCAGGGCGGAAGCTGGTCGCGGGCGTGCCGGAGAGCTGGTACCCGCCGCAGGCGTCTCGTCGTGATAGCGCCGATAGTAGCGCTGGCAGCAGGGGCACGAGCAGCGGCGGTGCCTTTTTCCCTGGTAGTGTCGGCAATAACGGCGGGGGCAGCGGCAGCGGCGGTGGCGGAGGAGGCGGGGAAGGCGAGGGGGGCGGGGGAGGCGGCAGTGGCAGCGGGCGGAAGGGCTTTTTCGGGCACCAACGCACTGGTGGTAACAATAGCGACACTGGCCATGCCCATCACATCCACAACGGCAGCATCAGCAGGGACAGCGGTGTGGAGGGCATGAGCAGCAGAGGGGGCAGAATAAGCAGAGGGCGCAGCCTAGGAGCCAGCGGAGGGCGCAGTGGGGCGGCGAGTGTGGGGGCGAATGGGTCGGGGACGGTTACCAAGGAGGTGTATCTGGATGGGTACAACATCGTCAGCGCGTTCATGGCAGGTGCGACTCTGCTGCCACCTGCACTTCTTGTCATCTGCACGTGTTGCCGTGTGCTGCCACCCGCGTGTGATGCTACCATGTACTCCCGCCTACCCCTTAACTCTCCCTCTCTCTCTTCCCCATTTTTTCCCACCCTTTCTTTCCCTCTCCCTCCCCGTGCTCCGTGCGCGGGCAGACCTGGTGCGAAGCAGGGGCATGGGGGGCGCGACACACGTGCTGGTGTCCGGTTGCTCTGCGGGTGCACAGGCCGTCATGGCCGTGTGCGACCGCTTCAAGCTCCTGCTGCCACGTACCTCTGTCAAATGCCTTATGGACGCTGGCATGTTCGTGGGTACGTGCGGATTGCATCCTGTAATTGAAATCGACGAAGCAATCAGAGCATGTGCTGCTTCTGAACGCGTGTTCCTCTTGTATTGAATTCATCCCGTCTCAAGTGGGGTTTGGATGTGGCAATCGCATGCTCAGTATGGTGTCCCCTCGTTGTTCTGGGATGGTGCAGATGCGCGGGGAAGGAGGGGCAGACGGCCGATGCGATCGCAAGTGCGTAAGCTAATGGGTTTGCACTCCATGCACCTCAACTCCAACTGCATCGCAGGTCCGCTCCCATTCATAAGCCCCTCAACCTTTCCTGCTGCACCACCCCCTTTTGCCCAAATTACCAACCTCCCACCCTTCCCTCCCTTCCTCCCTCGCTTCCCCTTTCTGGATCAACCCCCACAATATCTTCCTCAGCTTCCCTGCTCTCACCTCCCCTGTCCCCCTCCATGCCAGATTTCCAGCCGTCCAAGCAGTGGCGGTGCTTCTTCCCCCAGCACGCTTTGTCACGCATGGCGGCGCCTGTGTTCCTCGTGAACAGCCTATTCGACCAGATCGCTCTCTCCCTGGGCGGCCAATTGGACTCCCTCAACCGCACTCACACCTCCTCCTGCATCTGGGCCATTCTAAGAGCGCGTAGGGACATTCAGCGCATGGTGCTTTCCAAGGGGTTAGTTCGAAGGCAGTTCTGGGCACGGGGAGCGCCGCAATGGTGTGGGGTGAGGGAGGAGGGTGCGGTGGTGAGTGCAGCGTTTGACACGTTTAAGTATGTGAGGGATGTGGTGCAGGTGAGAAAGGGCTTTGGGGCGTTTATTCTGGCGAAAAGGCCGTGGCATTGTAGTACCACGTCATTCTTATGGTCGGTAGCTGCAGTCAACGGGGTGAAGCTGAATCAAGCTGTCCTCAAATGGACCATGGGTGTAAAAACTAGACATTTCTATATCTAGAATTAACCTCGCGTAAAGAAATATATACTAGTCTATAGTTTACAAATAACAAGAAACTATTGAATCTGTCATAAGAACTAAAGCCATAACACACATGTATGACCTGTAAAACTCACTGCATCCTGGTTCTTGCACATCAGCCCATAACCCACATGGAAACATCTTATTTTCTTCCGCAGCTAAAGGTCAAGAACGATAAATTGCAAAATCGAAGTCCGAGTTTCGTTCGTATAACGAGTCAATTTCCTGATTCCTTTCTGCGCGCCAATGTCCGAGATTCGTGCATTGCATGCAACTGTATCACTCTCGCACTGTTCACCAATCCTCCAACCAGACCTGGCTAGTCGTATTTCTTCGACTATATCTTAGTCGTTCTCGCTCGCTTCGATTCCGCGATCGACAGAAATTACTTCCGCGCTTTATTTTCCTCTTCTAGTCTCGTCCGTTACCGCTTACCTCATGGCTGCACCAGAAGCGGAGGCCGCCGCGCCGGCTGCACCGGCGGCGGCGCCGGGGTCCGTCGACACGTCGGCGCAGCTAGCGGCGCTGCGCGCGCTGATGGCGAAGTACGAGGGCGGCGCGCTTGCGGCGTACATCGTGCCGTCGGAAGATGCGCACCAGGTGAGAGCGCGAGCAGACTCAAGAGTGATTCAATTTAATTTATTATGTTTCTGAATCAAATGCTGGCTGAGCCGTTTCCGAGGGAATTATGTTTCTGTGAGCTCGCCATTAATATGGACAGTGAATCCCTAACCTTCCACCCCCCATTGCATCTCCGTTCCCCCCCGCCGTGTCTTGCTCCTTCTCCCTTTCCGCACCCTCTCCGGCTTTTTTTTGCTTGGCTGGCTTATGGCCTTTCTCGGGCATCGTTTCCGCGTTGCGCGTTGCGCGCGCTGTTGCTTCGCGCGCGTTGCAATCTGCGCGCGTGGGGCAGAGCGAGTACGTGGCGGAGTGCGACCAGCGCCGCAAGTTCATCTCGGGGTTCTCAGGATCCGCAGGTGAGCCCGCACGCCGCCATGCCGCCATGCCGCCATGCCGCCATGCCGCCATGCTGCCGCCGCGCCGTCACTCTGCTTGCGGTTCTCTTTAATTCACTGTTCTCCCTCACCCCCTCTCCTCCGATCACTTTTCCTTTACATTGCGCAACCCCTCACCATGCGCCGCACTCCCCCCTTTCTGCGCAACCCCGCACCATGCGCGAACTTCTCCGCTCCGCCCCTCGCGCGCGTCCTGCCACGTGGCAGGCATAGCGGTGGTGACGGCGACGGAGGCGCTGCTGTGGACGGACGGGCGCTACTTCCTGCAGGCGGCAACGCAGCTCAGCAACGACTGGCGCCTCTGCAAGGCCGGCACGCTCGAAAAATGGATCTCCACGGTTCGCCGCCTCCCCCATTCCCTCTCCGCCTACCCCTCTTCCCCCCTCTTCCCCCCTCTTTCCGCCCGCTTTCCGCGTACTCCACTTCCGCATGACCATGTGCCTGTTCCCCCCCCCCCCCCCCCAAAACCCTCCACGCAACCCCTCTGGCCCCCCTGCTTCTTGCCTTGTCCCTTGCTGCTGCACCCTGCTAGCCACCCTCCTCTGCTCCTCTCCAGCGCACCTCTTGCCTTGCCCCCTCTTTTTTCCCCTCCACGTCCCCCTCCTGCGCCTTCCCCTGCCCCCCTTCCCCCGTGTTCTTCCCCCCCCTGGCAGAACTTGCCGCGGGGGGCGCGAGTGGGAGTGGACGCGTCCACGCTGTCTATTGATGCGGCGCGGCGCATCACACACGAGCTTGACAAGGCTGCTCAGCACCTCGTGCTCGTCAGTCACACTCACGCACTCACATGCGCACACACTCACATGCGCACATGCTCAAACATACTCATATGCTCCCATGCTCACCTGCTTGCTCGTGCACCCTGCTCGCACGCACCTGCTGAATTTGCTACAAATTGCTGCGCGTCTTGCTCTCTTCGTCCCTGCTTTGGGCGAGCCCCTCGCCTCCTGACCTCCATTCCAATCTCACCTGCCCCTCTCTACTCTCCACTCCCCCATAAATTCAATTTCCGTACCCCCTTAACACCGTTCCCCCTTTCCCCTCCCCGCCGCCGGCTGTCCCCCCCCCTCTCCCCTGTCCCCTCTCCTTCCTATCTCGCAGACTCCCACGAACCTGGTGGATGAGGTGTGGGGCGCGGCGCGTCCACCGCCCCCCAGCGAGCCAGTGCGCGTGCACCCGGTGAAGTTCGCCGGGCGGACCGTAGCGGACAAGCTGGCGTGGGCGCGGCGCAAGATGCGCGAGGAGGGCGCGCGCGCGCTCGTCGTGACGGCGCTGGACGAGGCCATGTGGCTGCTCAACGTGCGCGGGGCCGATGTGCCGTTTAACCCCGTTGTGCTGAGCTACGTGGTGCTCACGAGGGATGATGCCACGCTCTATGTGGATAAGAAGAAGGTCACTGATGAGGTGCGGTGCGGTGGAGAGAGGTGGGGAAGGTGGGGGAAGTTGGGGGCGAAGGGGGAAACGGAAGGGGAATAGGGAGGGGAGAGGGGGAGGAGAGGCTGGTTGGAGGATGGACGTGAGTGAGTGTGCACTGCACGGTGGCTCTACTTACTATACTTAATACAACTTACTAGTACCATGGGGGGCATTGCACCAGGTATCATGGGCGCGTTTCATTCCCTCTTGCTTCCTTCCCCAACACATTACCACCACTATTGCTACGCGTGCAGGTGGCAGCGCATCTGAAGAGCGAGGGCGTGCAAGTGAAGGACTACGGCGCTATCCTGCCCGACCTGCATGCGCTCGCTGCTACCCTCGCCGCTGCTGCTGCTGCTGCCGCTGCTGCTGCTGCTGCTGCTGACAAGGAGAAGGCTGAAGGGAAGGCTGAAGGGAAGGAGGGGAAGAAAGCGGAGGAGAAGGCAAAGGAGGGAGGGAAAGAGGTGGTGATGGAAGAGGCTAAGGAGGAAGGGAAGGGTGCGAAGGCAGAAGGAGAGGGCGATAAGGCAGGTGAAGGGAGCAAAGAAGCGAGCAAGGAAGGCGAGAAGGAGGCAGTGAAGGAAAAGCCAGGTTTTATCGTGTGGCTGTCCCCTGCCACGTGCTCGTACGCTGTGTACGAGGCAGTCAGCAAGCAGCTGCCCACGCAGCACATGCTGCTGCAGCAGTCGCCCATCGCCCTGGAAAAGGCCATCAAGGTAGGGTGCAGTGCGATGGGATGCGGTTGGGTGGGAGGAGGCCTCTAGGTGAGGCGGTACCTCCTTTTCACGTTCATGGGTAGGAGGGGAGTTGAGTGAGGGTGGTGTAGAGTGGCAGCGATGAGTGAAGATGGGGGATGAATGGGTGTGGTCGAGGGGAGGGAGGTAGGTGTTGAGTAGCTTAGGGGCGTGACGTACGTGTTGTTGCTTATTGGAAAATCTCTCTATGTATGCCATGTGATAGAGTCTGCGCTCACATCACGCTTCTCAGTCTCTCTCCCATCCCCCTCTCCACGCTTCCCTTCTCCCCTCGCCTCTCCCCTTCCCTCTTCCCTCGCCTCTTTCCCCTCCCTCTCACCTTCCATCACTGCTCTGGCGTCTGCTCTTTCCCCCATGTCTCTTACACCACTCCACACCCCACCACACCACACCCCACCATCCCACGTGCGCCATGGTATCAGAACGAGGTGGAGCTGGCAGGGCTGCGCGCGTGCCATGTGCGCGACGGCGTGGCTCTCGTGCGCTTCCTCGCATGGCTCGACCACCAGGTGCCGTGCTGTGCCGTGCTGCTCACGGGGGGGGCAGGGAAGTGGGTTCATTCATGGGTGGCCACAAAGTGCAATTAGGGGGCGGGGGGGGGGGATACAGCAGGGGTGGGGGGGGATGGCGTGGCACTCGTGCGCTTCCTCTCATGGCTCGACCACCAGGTGCCGTGCCGTGCTGTGCTGTGCTGTGCTGTGCTGCGCTGCTCCTGCTCCTGCTCACAGGGGGCTCAAGAGGGATTGTGGGGGAAATGGGGCAGGTGTGGATGAGCAATTACAGGACAGGCGAGTGGAGGTGGGAAGTGGGGCAAGGGCAGCAATTCAACGGGGGCCCGGTTGGTATTTCGGTTTCCGCACCAGGATGCTGGGTTGGGGGCAGCAAAAAGGGAGGGGGGGGCATGTAAAAGGGGAGCAAAGAGGGGAGCTTAGGGCAATTTGTAACTTGATTTCCTGGATATTCGTGTGTAGTGTTGTGTGACGGCACGTGTGTGTGGTGTGCGATGGTGGTGGTGGTGTGCAGATGAGGGAGCAGCAGGCAGCGCCGGGGTACTTCAAGGAGCGCGTGGAGGCTGCAGGCAGCAAGCGCAAGCGCTCCTTGTCAGTTCTGCTGCCCTCTGCTGCCCTCTGCTGCCTTGTGCTGCTCGCTCGCACCGTTTGCTGTGCCCCCATACGCCTTGCCCCGCTACCTACTGCCTTGCTGTCTCTTTGCTCCTGTTTCCCGCCCCTTTCGCCCCCCCTTTTTCCCCGCCTCCCACTTGCCTCCCGAGCCAAGCCAATGCATCCTTTCCCTTCCCCCCTCTCCTGTCCCCTTCCCCTCTGCCCTTTCTTCTGCCTCGTTCCTCCTCTTCCCCACTGTGTCTTCTCTGTTTATTCTCCTGTCTGCAGAAGTCATGCCACTCCCACTCGGCGCAGCACCAGAATTGCAAGGGGATCCGGTGGGGAAGGGGAGGAGAAAAGCGTGGTTACTAGTGAGGTGAAGGCGAAGGGTAGGGGGAGAGGGAGGGGGAAGAAGGTAGAGGAGAAGGAGAAAGAGGAGGAGGAGAAGGAGAAAGGGGAAGAGAAGGAAAAGGAGAAGGAGAGGGATGAAGAGATGAAAGATGTGAATGATGCAGAAGGGGAGAAGAAGGGCGAGGAGGGTAAAGGTGAGAAGGAAGGGGAGAAGGAAAAGGAGAAGGAGAAGGAAGGGGAGAAGGAAGGGGAGAAGGAAGGCAAAAAGGAGGGGGAGAAGGAAGAAAAGATGGAAGTTGAGAAGGAAGCAGAGAAGGAAGGCAAAAAAGAAGAGGAGAGCAAGAAGGAAGAAGAGAAGGAAGTTAAAAAGGAAGAGGAGAAGGAGAAGGGAATGGAAGTTGAGAAAGAAATCGAGAAGCAAGGGGAGAAAGAAGGCAAGAAGGAGGGGGCGGAGGAAGGGAAGAAGGAGGAGGAGAAGGAAGGGAAGAAGGAAGAGGAGAAGGAAGGGAAGAAGGAAGAGGAGAAGGAAGGGAAGAAGGAAGAGGAGAAAGAGGCGGAGAAGGAGGAGGAGAAGGAAAGCGGGCCTGTGGCACTGACAGAGTGTAGTGTGGCAGACAAGCTGCTGGCGTTCCGACAGGAGCAGGAGGTGAGGTGCTGTATATTGCGTGCTGTGTTCCATGCGATTTGTGCGATGTGCGCTGTGCCCTTGGTGTGCTGTGTGCACATGTTGGTCGTGCTCTACCTCATCACCTCCCTCAGCAGCACATCTACCTCCCCCTCCCCCCCCCTCCTCCCCACAGCACTTCATGGGTCCATCCTTCGCGACCATTTCATCAGTGGGGGACACTGCAACCATCATCCACATCTTCAAGTCGGCTCAAAATCACCATTGATTATGCTACCTCCTGGCTCTACCCCCTCCTCTTCGACAGCCCTTCATGGGTCCATCCTTCGCGACCATATCATCAGTGGGGGACACTGCAACCATCATCCACATCTTCAAGTCGGCTCAAAATCACCATTGATTATGCTACCTCCTGGCTCTACCCCCTCCTTTTAACAGCCCTTCATGGGTCCATCCTTCGCCACCATATCATCGATGGGCGCCAACGCAGCCATCATTCACATGTTGTAAAATCAACTCGGAAACACCCCCATCATACCATCCCATGCCCCCCTTCCCCCTCCCCACAGCACTTCATGGGTCCATCCTTCGCCACCATATCATCGATGGGCGCCAACGCAGCCATCATTCACATGTTGTAAAATCAACTCGGAAACACCCCCATCATACCATCCCATGCCCCCCTTCCCCCTCCCCACAGCACTTCATGGGTCCATCCTTCGCCACCATATCATCGGTGGGCGCCAACGCTGCCATCATCCACTACAAGCCCGAGCCCGACACGTGCGCTGCTCTCACCGCCTCTGAAATCTTCCTCTGCGACTCGGGCGGGCAGGTAACCATCCCTCCTTGCATGCATGGAAGGAGGGGAAAGTGGGCCTCACTCACACTGTCGGGGCGTGGGCAGCAGCATGGGGGTGGAGGGGCATGGGATGCAGGAGGGATGGAGGGCTGTTGAAAATCCTCTGTGCCATCACTTTGCCCCTCTTTGTTTCATCCTACCTCTTTTGCTCCTCCACCTCCCTCTGCTCATCACAGCTTCCAATCTTCTCCCGCCGGCCCCTCCCCCGTTCCTCCCCCCGGTCCTCCTTTTCCCCCTCACTTTCCCCTCACTCACCCGTTTCGTGGCAAACTCGTGCTTTCCTTCCGACTCCCCCATTTCCCGGGTCTGTCTTGCCCTCCGCGCCTGTGCAGTATCTGGACGGCACAACAGACGTCACGCGCACAGTGCACTTTGGCATGCCCACGGAGCATGAGAAGAAGTGCTACACACTCGTGAGTGCACCCCTGCACCCCTGCACCCCTGCACGAGTGCATGCGCTTTTTCCCAGGTTTCACATTGTTATGTCGTGCACGTGTGTGCATGCGACAGTGAGGGCCTTCTGCCATGCTTCATGCACACAGCCCCGCAAGCATCCAATTTAGTAAGCCTCTCTCATCATTGAACGTCTTCGCGTGGAAACCGAAGACGCACTATCTATGCGAGTCGATGCTCTATCTATGTGAGTCGATGCTCTATCTATGTGAGTCGATGCTCTATCTATGTGAGTCGATGCTCTATCTATGTGAGTCGATGCTCTATCTATGTGAGTCGATGCTCTATCTATGTGAGTCGATGCTCTATCTATGTGAGTCGATGCTCTATCTATGTGAGTCGATGCTCTATCTATGTGAGTCGATGCTCTATCTATGTGAGTCGATGCTCTATCTATGTGAGTCGATGCTCTATCTATGTGAGTCGATGCTCTATCTATGTGAGTCGATGCTCTATCTATGTGAGTCGATGCTCTATCTATGTGAGTCGATGCTCTATTCATGTGAGTCGATGCTCTATCTATGTCAGTCGACGCTCTATCTATGTGAGTCGATGCTCTATCTATGTGAGTCGATGCTCTATCTATGTGAGTCGATGCTCTATCTATGTGAGTCGATGCTCTATCTATGTCAGTCGACGCTCTATCTATGTGAGTCGATGCTCTATCTATGTCAGTCGACGCTCTATCTATGTGAGTCGATGCTCTATCTATGTGAGTCGATGCTCTATCTATGTGAGTCGATGCTCTATCTATGTGAGTCGATGCTCTATCTATGTGAGTCGATGCTCTATCTATGTGAGTCGATGCTCTATCTATGTGAGTCGATGCTCTATCTATGTGAGTCGATGCTCTATCTATGTGAGTCGATGCTCTATCTATGTGAGTCGATGCTCTATCTATGTCAGTCGACGCTCTATCTATGTGAGTCGATGCTCTATCTATGTGAGTCGATGCTCTATCTATGTGAGTCGATGCTCTATCTATGTGAGTCGATGCTCTATCTATGTGAGTCGATGCTCTATCTATGTGAGTCGATGCTCTATCTATGTGAGTCGATGCTCTATCTATGTGAGTCGATGCTCTATCTATGTGAGTCGATGCTCTATCTATGTGAGTCGATGCTCTATTCATGTGAGTCGATGCTCTATCTATGTCAGTCGACGCTCTATCTATGTGAGTCGATGCTCTATCTATGTGAGTCGATGCTCTATCTATGTGAGTCGATGCTCTATCTATGTGAGTCGATGCTCTATCTATGTCAGTCGACGCTCTATCTATGTGAGTCGATGCTCTATCTATGTCAGTCGACGCTCTATCTATGTGAGTCGATGCTCTATCTATGTGAGTCGATGCTCTATCTATGTGAGTCGATGCTCTATCTATGTGAGTCGATGCTCTATCTATGTGAGTCGATGCTCTATCTATGTGAGTCGATGCTCTATCTATGTGAGTCGATGCTCTATCTATGTGAGTCGATGCTCTATCTATGTGAGTCGATGCTCTATCTATGTGAGTCGATGCTCTATCTATGTCAGTCGACGCTCTATCTATGTGAGTCGATGCTCTATCTATGTGAGTCGATGCTCTATCTATGTGAGTCGATGCTCTATCTATGTGAGTCGATGCTCTATCTATGTGAGTCGATGCTCTATCTATGTGAGTCGATGCTCTATCTATGTGAGTCGATGCTCTATCTATGTCAGTCGACGCTCTATCTATGTGAGTCGATGCTCTATCTATGTGAGTCGATGCTCTATCTATGTGAGTCGATGCTCTATCTATGTGAGTCGATGCTCTATCTATGTGAGTCGACGCTCTATCTATGTCAGTCGACGCTCTATCTATGTGAGTCGATGCTCTATCTATGTGAGTCGATGCTCTATCTATGTGAGTCGATGCTCTATCTATGTGAGTCGATGCTCTATCTATGTGAGTCGATGCTCTATCTATGTGAGTCGATGCTCTATCTATGTGAGTCGATGCTCTATCTATGTGAGTCGATGCTCTATCTATGTGAGTCGATGCTCTATCTATGTGAGTCGATGCTCTATCTATGTGAGTCGATGCTCTATCTATGTGAGTCGATGCTCTATCTATGTGAGTCGATGCTCTATCTATGTGAGTCGATGCTCTATCTATGTGAGTCGATGCTCTATCTATGTGAGTCGATGCTCTATCTATGTGAGTCGATGCTCTATCTATGTGAGTCGATGCTCTATCTATGTGAGTCGATGCTCTATCTATGTGAGTCGATGCTCTATCTATGTGAGTCGATGCTCTATCTATGTGAGTCGATGCTCTATCTATGTGAGTCGATGCTCTATCTATGTGAGTCGATGCTCTATCTATGTGAGTCGATGCTCTATCTATGTGAGTCGATGCTCTATCTATGTGAGTCGATGCTCTATCTATGTCAGTCGACGCTCTATCTATGTGAGTCGACGCTCTTCATCCTGCTGCATCCATCCCTTGCGTATCTCCCTTGCAGCCCGTGCATGTCTTACACCCTCCCCCCCTCTCCACCCCCATCAGGTGCTCAAGGGGTACATAGCACTGGAGCAGGTCATCTTCCCCAACGGCACCACCGGTACGCACCCGCTTTAGAGTCGACTCAAAAGCAGACCACCGGTAGGCACCCGCACTGCACCTCCTTCTTTGCTACAACACTCCTACAGGGGTGGGGGAGTTGATCTTACCTTTCATCCAATCCTTACGTGCCGGAAAGAAAGAAACAATCAGCTCCGATCCTTGTGTGTGTGCTGCATGCTGCTCCCCTCTCTCTCCAACTCTGCATGCTGCGTGCTGTGTGTGTGCTGCATGTGCATGTGCGGGGCAGGCCACATGTTGGACGTGTTACCGCGCAAGGCGCTGTGGCAGGAGGGGCTGGACTACCCGCACGGCACGGGGCATGGCGTGGGGTCCTTTCTCAACGTGCATGAGGGTGAGACAGGGGACGTGTGGGTGGGTGTGGGTGGGCGTGGCCAGGCGTAGGTGGGCGTGGGTGGGTGTGGATGGGTTCGCATGGGTGTGGTGGATGCTTGCAGCTGATCAAGTCCTGTTTTCCGTTTTCCTATCTGCTGATGCTCTTTCTTGTTATCTTTCATCACTCCCCACCTCCTCCAAGCCTTAACCTTCCCCCCATCCTTCCACCCATCTGCCGTCGTTTCCTGTTCAAGTGAGCTGTGCGTCTCTGTGTGTCCCCTCCCCATAGTGTCATCCACTCTCAACTCTTGTCTCATTCGCGCTCTCCAACTCTCTGCTCTTGCCAACTCCACTATGCCACACTTGTCACTCACGCAACCACCCATCCGCACATGCGGTGCTCGGTAACAGGTCCCCACCTCATCAGCTTCCGTCCCAAGGCCATTCAGACTGCCCTCGCTGCCAACATGACTGTCACTGACGGTACGCGACGTGCGGGGGAGGGAAGAAAGGTGGGGGTTGGGGAAGGGCGGGGGGACATGGAGAAAATGGAGGGAGGCGAGGGAAGGGGGGGAGAAGGTGGTACAAGGGAAGCGGAGTAAAATGGAATTCATTCTGTTTGTGTCTGCCCGTTTTCTGACTACTCTGTGCCCTGTGTTTCTGACTGACTCCTGTGCTTGCCTCACTCATCTCCTCCACCTAACACAACTTGCAGCACTCAAGACGTTCTTACTTTTCCCCACTTACCCTCCACTTCGGCCTCCCTTCCCCTTTTCCCCACTCCTCCCCATCCCCGATTCCCCGTTTCCCCACATCCCTCCATCCCGCTCCCCGGCTATCTTCACATGGAGCAGAGCCGGGGTACTACGAGGAGGGCAAGTTTGGCATGCGCGTGGAGAACGTGCTGCTGGTTGAATCCACGGAGCTGCCGCACAACTTTGCCGACCGCGGCTACCTCAAGTTCCAACCCGTCACCCTGGTGCGCACATGCCGGGAGTCTTAGAACTTAGGTATGATGAGATTAGGTCAAAGGGGGGGGTACAAGGAGAATGTCGAGGGAAATTTTGTACCCCCTAGTGCTACCCCACTAAAGCCTAGATCAATCTAGCACAGATATAACATTTGACACACCCCCATAGGCAAAGTGGGGGAGAACAAGGGGTCACAAGACCAGTCAAGAGAAGCAAAGCAAGCTCAGGGTGGATCACAACGTCACCACACACTCTGAGACAAAGCAGAGGGCCACAAGGCCAGTTCACATGCAGAGGTATATAAGCAACAGTGATCACTACCTAGCAGATGTAAGCATGCAGGTACATATATATATGGATCACAGTACAAGCAAAGCCTACAGCAAGTGTGGAAACGTAGGCACAAGACCTAACAAGGTACAAAAGCGCTGATGATCACCAGACGGAAGTGCCTTGGTGAATATATCAGCAGTGTTGGCCCGAGTGGCCACGTGTGCAAGTCGAAGCTGACCACGCTGCTGCAACTCTCGAGCCAGGAAGTAACGCAGAGCGATGTGCTTCGTTCTGTGCTCCAGTCTGTGCTCCTCACACAAGGCAATGGCAGCCTTGTTGTCGACGTACAGAACTGGAGGAGAACGAGGCCGCTCTCCCAAGTCGGTCAGCAGGTAGGTGAGCCAGCGCAACTCCTGAGCAGCCATGGCTGTGGCGTAGATCTCAGCCTCACAACTGGAGCTGAGAACAGAAGACGAGCGAGTAGAACGCCAGGAAACAGAACCAGAGCCAAGGCTGAAAGTGTAACCCTGTGACGACCGCTGCGTAGCCTGGTCGTCAACCCAAGAAGCGTCTGAGTGCCCAGTGAGGACCACCTCTCGCCGTCCTCCAAGCACGAGCCCCATGCCCGATGTACTGCACAAGTAGCGCAGTACCCTCTTCGCAGCATCCCAGTGCACCTTTCGGTGCCGATCAGGGCCCCGTAACGGGCCAGAAGGCCAAGGGGGTACGCAAGGTCAGGACGAGTGCAAGTCATCAGGTACATGAGGCAGCCCACTAGCTCTGGGTAAGGACCACTCGGCTCTACGGACTTGTCCGAAGGTGGAGCTGAGAGCGAGTGACCTGTAGCCAGGTGAAGCCGAAGCGCTGAAGGACCTGCTGCACCATGTGTGACTGAGTCAGTGTGATGGTGCGGCGTGCTCTGTCTCGGGTGATCTGCAAGCCAAGGTAGCTGCGCAGCTCACCCAGGTCAGTGCACGTATGTCTCTTCTGCAGCTCCGACTTCACCAAGGCGAGAGCCTCAGTGTCAGCAGTGGCAAAGACCAAGTCGTCGACGTACACGAGGATGTAGAACGGCGGCAGAGAAGTGTCGGTGCGTAGAAACAGCGACGGGTCAGCTGTCGAAGGTGCAAACCCAAGAGCCGCAAGTGTAGTCCTCAGTGTGTCGTGCCACTCACGTGGTTCCTGGCGGAGACCGTAGACTGGCCGGCGGAGGCTCCACTGGGTACCAGGAGGGAACGACCCAGTGAAGCCAGGTGGACGGCGTAGCCAGATCTCCTCGTGCAGGCTGCCCTGTAGGAAGGCTGTGCTAAAGTCCAGCGAGTGAAGCTCGTAGTCACGCTGAGCGGCAACGTGCAGTAGCACCCGAAGAGTGGTCATCTTCGGGGTGAAATAAGTCGACTCCCTCACGCTGACTGAAGCCTCTAGCAATGTAACGAGCCTTGAAGACAGGCGGAGAACCTGGCGGCCGCTTCACCTTGAAAATCCACATGCCATCGACAATGTTCGCCCCGGGGGGGGGAACCTCATCGACGTACGTGCCTGTGGACTTCCAGGATGCCATCTCTGCGTCCATGGCTGCCTGCCACTGAGAGGAGTAGTCACCCGCGATCGCCTCAGCGTAAGAGCGCGGGGTAGGGATGTCTATAGCATCCGGGTCTCCCTCAGGGGCAAGCAGCATGGCCACAAGATGAGGCGCAGCGGCTGCAAGACACTCAAGGTCCTCGTGCCTGTCCTCAAGGACGTCCGTGCTAAGAGCACACTCACCCCCGACGGACGGAGGACAGACAGACTCAGACTCAGCAACCAGACTAGCAGCGTAGTCCAGACGACAGGCAGCAGCAAAGTCAACAAGCTCAGCGACCAAGGCAGACGCAGCAGCAGACTCAAAAGAAGGGTCAGTGACAACAGTGGCGAGCAGACGCGTGACAGTAGGGTGCGCAGCACGAACGCGGTCAGACTCAGGGTCGGGAACGTCAGGTAAAGAGGACGCAGGAGGAGACGGCAGAGGAACAGACTGTGGAACAGAGGAAGGACGACGGACGACAAAATGCGCGGTGGGGACAGTCGGCGAACGCGGACGCGGAACACGACGAGCGGTACGACGAGAACTAACAGGCGAGACAGGACGCGACGTAGGCTCAGGCAGTAGGTGCAGGCAGTAGGCTCAGGCAGTACGCTCAGTCACAGGCTCAAACATAGGCTCAGGCTCAGGCTTAGGCTCAGACTCAGACTCAATCTCAGGCAGGCATGCTTAGGCAGGCAGTTAGGCTCTGGTACAGGCTCAGGCTTAGGCAGGGCGGGGCTTAGGCATGGGCAGGGGCTTAGGCAGGGCGGGGATTATGCTTAGGTAGGGCGGGGCTTAGGCAGGGCAGGGCGACGGCGCACAGGCAGGGCGCGGCGGCGGTTTCTGCGCGGCAGCGGGGCGTGCGCGGCGGTGGGGTGCGTATTGCAGCAGATGGCGCGCGCGGCAGCAGGCTGCACGGGCGGCTGTTCGCGCGCTGCAGGGGATGCGCGGCGGCGGGCTGCTGCGGCGACGAGCGGCGCACGGGCACCCGCGGCGACGGGGCGTGCGGCAGCGGGCTGCACGGGACGGCGGGCTGCAGGCGGGGCGCGCGGATCGCGGGGCAGCAGCGGGCTGCGGGCTGCTTAGTGAGACGCACGCTAAAAAAAAAGGCGACGCGCGCTCCGTCGAAGCGCGCGTAGGCAGCAGGCAGGGCAGGCAAGGCAAAGCAGGTGGGGTAACACAGTAACTGGTGGGCCCGAGCTTAGGTCCTAAGTCCTAATGCTCTAGATACCATCTTAGAACTTAGGTATGATGAGATTAGGTCAAAGGGGGGGGTACAAGGAGAATGTCGAGGGAAATTTTGTACCCCCTAGTGCTACCCCACTAAAGCCTAGATCAATCTAGCACAGATATAACATTTGACAGGGAGAGGGGACGAGGGGTGGTGCGGGGGCAGGGGGGCAGGGGCGGGGAAAGATGCATTTGCATGTGCATGAGCATTTCGTGTCAGGCTATCTGGATTCCCTTGTTCACGTCGTCTCCTGTGTGTTCATGCTCCCTCCCTCATTTGGAACATTTTCACTAAGAAAAGCTTGTTCACTGGTCTTCTCATCTTCTCCCTTCTCACCCCTCCTCCTTCCTCCCTGCTCCCTCCCCAGTCCTCTCCCTCCATGCCCTTGCCTTAGCCTTCTGTCTCCGCCTTGAATTCAGTCTCTCCATACTCCCCGTGCTCCTCACCTCCCTTCTTCCCTAAGCCAAAGCATCACTCTCCCGTTTTTCCCCTCTCCGCCGATACACCCTACAGGTGCCAATTCAGACGAAGCTGATAGAGAACTCGCTGCTTTCCAAGCCTGAACATGGTGACTCTTGAGTTCAACAAAAAGACCCCCCCCCCCCCCCCCCCCCCCCCCACCCCCCGCCCCCGCCCCCCCCCCCCCCCCCCCCCCTCTTCGTGCACACCCACCAGGTGCCGATTCAGACGAAGCTGATAGAGAACTCGCTGCTTTCCAAGCCGGAGCGCGACTGGCTGAACCACTACCACGCGCGCTGCCGCAAGGAGCTCTCCCCCTTCCTCGAAGGTGCTGACCTGGACTGGCTGCACCGCGCCACAGAGCCCATTAAAGCCCACTAGGCTAGGAGGAAAGGGGGACTAGAAGCTGCTGCTGCTGCTGCTGCTGCCCCTCCTATTGCTCCATTAACGACCTCTCTTGCCGCCATATGCTGCTGCTTCGTCTTACCGTACATCTTTCCACTTAACTTTTTAAGAGCTGACTTGCATTGCAGTTGCATGCTTGCGTGCTTGCATAATTGACCTGTAGATAGTACTGACAATTCCTATATCACAATTGCTTTATAAGTAGGGATGTATATTGACCAAGTGCATGTAATTAACTTGGATAAGTCTTTCCTAAGTGACTTCACCCCAAACAATTAGCATCCTTATAGTGTCACCGTAAGTTTGATCGAGTGTGAATTGCAGCGCGTACGTAATCCCCAGTGCCCTTCGGCGCTGCCCATTTATCTGGTCCGCTTTCAATTTCTTCACTTCTTCCCACTGCCCGCCCGCATCTCCCGCCGTCCCTCGCGTCCCCCTCGCCCCCTTGTGTGCCCGGACCGTTCAAGGTGCGTTGCTTCTTCCGTTCGTCCATCCTGCCCACCCTTCCCTTCTCCTCTCTCCTCCCGCCGTTCTTTCCATTTCCATGTCGTAGGCGTGCCATAACCCTCACCGCATCGTCTGTTCCACATCGTTTCTTACACTCGTTGTCGCCCCTCCACGTCTTTATTCCACTGTCGTACGCCGTGAGTGTTTTTGAGACGCTTTAAAACTAGACGTTGTGTGCAATTATTTTCAAGTATTTTCGCACAAGAAAATTGCGCCCGAATAATGTCCATCCGCCCATTCGCCCCTCCGCCCCCACCCTCCCTCCCCCTCCCCCCCGTTCCCCCACACGCGATCCCAATCCGCGCGCCCCTTGCCCTTCCGCCTCCGCAATTCCCGCAGCCCCCAGCCATGGCATCTTCCGCGCTTGCCGGTCGTTCCGCCGTCGCCGCCGCGTGCTGCGCCGCGACCGCCGGCGCCAGATCCGCCGCCTTGTCGTCGTCCCGCTCCGCCGGCCGCGTCGCCTCGGTGCTTCCCCGCTTCGCCGCCGCAGCCGGAATCGCGGCGGTGTCCACGCGCGCTTCCCCTGCGCGCGCATCCGCTGTCCCAGGTACGCCGTCGTTCCCACGCGCCGCCTCCCCGTTCTTCGTTCCCGGCTGTTCCCTTCCAATCCATCTCAAACCGGGTTCCCACCGCCCCCATCCGCGTCTCCATCTATCCATCTTTCAACCTATCCTCCTCGCCTCCTCCCGCCACTCTCCCCTCTCCCACTCTCCCGCGCCCTCGCGCCTCCCCCTTCCGTCCGTGCAGCGGGCGGCAAGGCGGCGGTGGCGACAGCGGAGGCGCCGGCAGCGCTGGGGCCGTACAGCCAGGCCATCCAGGCCAACGGCACGCTCTATGTCTCAGGCGTGCTGGGACTCGTACCCGAGGTGCGTGCTTGCTTGCGTGCCGCTCATCCGCTCGTGAATGAGGGAGGATAAGGGGGAAGGGAGGAGTGGAGGTGGAGAGGAGAGAGATTGTATTGGCGATCCAGGCCAACGGCACGCTCTATGTCTAGGGCGTGCTGGGGCTCGTGCCCGAGGTGCGTGCTTGCGTGCGTTCTTGCGTGCTTGCCCACCTGCCTGCCTGCCTGCCTGCCTGCCTGCCTGCCGCTCATGTGCTGCTTCCCTGAGGCACTGCTTCGGTGGCGTTTACGTGGGGCTTGGTTGCTGCTGGTTAGTGGGCAGCGGGCATTGAGGAGAAACGCGCAGGAGTGGGAGAGGAAAAGGAGGGAGGGGGAAGGAGTGGAGGTAGAGAGGAGAGAGAATGGACTGTGCTGTGGGCTGAAGCGTGGTGAACACGCGTGCTGACACGTGGCTTTTGAGGCGCGTCAAAAGCTGTGCGTGAACCGTGAAGTCACGTGTTGTCATGCATTGCCATTGCCACACCTACCCCTCCCTTCCTGTCCCCGTTTGCGCTCCCACCCTCTCTCCCCCTCTCCCCCTCTCCCTTTCTCCCTCTCCCCCTCTCCCTTTCTCCGTCTCCCCCTCTCCCTTTCTCCCTCTCCCCCTCTCCCTTTCTCCCTCTCCCCCTCTCTCCTATCCTCCACCCGCCACAACTATCGCAGACGATGAAGTTTGCAGGGGAGACAGTGGAGGAGCAGACCGAGCAGGTGCTGGTTCTGCCCGCATGTTATGGGAGGGAATGGGTCATGAAACTGGGATGGAGGAGGGGGCTAGGTGGTGGGGATGGGAGACAGGGGAAGGATGTTTGAATTGTTGTTTATCCCTGGTTGTGCTTCCTTCTCTTTTCCCGCGATCTATTCCAATCCAGCTACATCTTCATTCTTCCGCTGTTTCTTTCTGCTCCCGCTGCTCTCTCCCCTCCTCCTTTCACCCCCCTTCCTGCAACCGTTAAAAACCATGGGTGTGGGATGAATATAAGAAACCTTACAAACAGACCCTCGTCTTCCCCGCCCTCCTCCCCTCTCCCCCCCTCTTTCTCCCCATCCCTGTCCCCGCAGCTGATGAAGAACATGGGTGCCATTCTGCGAGCTGGGGGAGCAGACTATGACTCTGTTGTCAAGACCACCATCATGTGAGCCACACCCGTTCGTGCTCTTCATGCCACTGGCATGCCCTAAGTCGCACTTCATGTGCCTTGTGTTGTCATGCCCTGTGTATCCGCGCTTCCAGTCTCACATTACCCAGGTTCCCCCCCGCCTCCCTCCCTGCTGCAATCTCCGTGACTCTTCGTGGCTGTTTCTCCATTCGTCCTCGCCCCGCACTGTCCATGTAACGTCTTCCCCACTAACTCATCCCTCGTCCCCCCCCCTTGCTGGCCCTGCAGGCTTGCGGACCTTGCAGATTTCAGCACCGTGAATAAGATCTACGCCACATGTGAGTCCCCTCACTCACACCATGCCGTGCCAAGCCATTCCATGCCATGCCATGTGGTGTCATGCCATGCCACGCCATGCCAGGCCATGCCACGCCATGCCATGCTATGCGGTGCCATGACATGTCATGCCAGACATTGTGCCAATTCTTTCTCCATGCACGTGTTACACCTGTCCCATTCATCTAAGCCCTCCCTCACACTCATCTTGCCCCCTCTTTCCCTGTTCCCCAGACTTCCCTGCACCTGCTCCTGCGCGCTCCACGTACCAGGTGGCAGCGCTGCCTCTGAATGCACGCATTGAGATCGAGTGCATTGCCCTCATCAAGAAGTAGGCTGCACCACATGTGCACGATTGCGCGCGCAACATACGGTACTAGCATATAAGAATGTGAAGTGGACGTGTTTTTGTGAAACTATGTGCTAATATATGGAGATACATTCCTGTTACTGGCGCATTCATGTATATGTCTATGTTAAACCTGCTTGGGACAAGAGATGCCGTAAGTACTTCCACAATGAAAGTATCCATTGGAAGCAATTCCATTGCTGATGCTACTCTGTATCACATCCTGTTTCTTGGGACAACTCAGGATTAACTGTCAACTTCCAACCGACTAAAAGAGTCCCCATTCATCCCATAAAGACAGCAAAGCAAAGACTAGACGGTAATTACAATGTCTTGGGTTGATGCACTGTGCTGTGGTTCTGCGTAGGTCACTGCACACAGGGCACGATGGTAGCATCTCCACAGCCATTCCCAGTGCAGCCTACCAGTATGGCTGTTAAGCACAGTACCAGTGTACCAGACCAGTACACACCAGCCACTGCAATTCAACAGGAGCATGATGCTCCGGAATATTGCTTCCCCAGCTTGCTGCACGAGCATGGCATGGCACAGCACTGCACATGGCATGCCACACCACTCACCGTATGGAACCACAACAAACCAGACCTAATTCATCATTCACCCCACTGTCACCACTCTCACCGTAACCACTCACTACCACCACTCAGTGTCACCACACTTGTAACATTCTGCCCACTCAACCTCACCACCCTCTCTGCTCTCACCCTCACCACACACCCCAAAACCGATTGCTCTCATGCAACAGGTGGCATCAGTGCCATACGGCTCATCATATGCCACCTACCAAGTACGAGCATCATGCTCTCATGCAACAGGTGGCATCAGTGCCATACGGCTCATCATATGCCACCTACCAAGTACGAGCATCATGCTCTCATGCAACAGGTGGCATCAGTGCCATACGGCTCATCATATGCCACCCAAGGGGACTCAGCCCCTTTCACTTGCTCTCACCCACCCAAGGGGACTCAGCCCCTTTCACCCACTCATGAGCATCACGCTTCCATGCACGGGTGGCATCAGTGCAACAAATCGTGCCCCCAACCAGCCAAGCATGAGCATCATGCTTCCATGCTTAAGGGTGGCATCAGTGCAACTCATCATGTGCCCCCAACCAGCCAAGCATGAGCATCATGCTTCCATGCTTAAGGGTGGCATCAGTGCAACTCATCATGTGCCCCCAACCAGCCAAGCATGAGCATCATGCTTCCATGCTTAAGGGTGGCATCAGTGCAACTCATCATGTGCCCCCAACCAGCCAAGCATGAGCATCATGCTTCCATGCTTAAGGGTGGCATCAGTGCAACTCATCATGTGCCCCCAACCAGCCAAGCATGAGCATCATGCTTCCATGCTTAAGGGTGGCATCAGTGCCATATGGCTCATCATATGCCACCGCCAACCCCACTGCCTTCATAGGAGCAGCAGACAGCCCACTCCCCTTCGGAAACAGCACGCTCAGGGTCTGTGCCTTGCAGTGCGAGGTGTGGTAGTGGAAAATTGCTTCCAGCCCAAGACTCAAATCCTGCCCCTGACGTAGCTAGAGCTGACGCGAACCAGAGTCGCCGGCCGGTCGACTCTGACGGTGCCCATTAAGCCTTAACGTCAGGTTTGTTACTTGAGCACCGAGTGCCGTGCCGCGCAGATTCCACCCACCACACCCCGACCCGCAAGGCACATACCTAGAGGATGCTGCCCCTGAGAGAGTGACCTGCCCACTTGCTCCCATGCTTCCCACCGCCTCCCCACTCTCCCCTTCACCCCATGCCTCTTACCTCTACCTACCACAGCCATGCAGACCAGCATGTTGCCTCAGGGTGTTGGGAAGAGGGGAGGGAGGAGGAGGGGAGGGTGAGGGGGGGGGGGGGTTAGTGCGATGGCTCTGTCCCGCCCTTGCTCCCTCTCTCCCTCAGGCTGCATCGACCGTGCTGGAAAGTGGGGAGGGGGGCAGCGGGAGGGAGAAGGGGAGGGGTAGGTGAGGATGAAAAGAGAGATGCCTCTGTCTCGCCCTTGCTCCAGTGATCCCTAGATACTCAGGCTGCAAAGAGGGGTGGGGAGGAAGAAAGAGAGGAGGGGATCAGATCTTCATACCAAACCTGTTACCGTACATTACCTGATACCATACCACACCTCGCTCATGACTCGACCTAACCTAGCCCGCCTCTAACCCCCCACCCCCCAGCTGCTGCTGCTGCTGCTGCTGCAACTGCTGCTGCCGGTCTGCTACTCAGCTTCTCTGCTACAGTCTTCTCTCGATGCCCAGTGGCCTGCAGGGGTGGGGGCAGAAGAATAGGGGGAAAGTAAAAGAAAGTGAATAGGCTGGACTAGAGAAACCAATGAACTGAAGTTGACGAGAAAGAGAAGGCGGAACTACAGAGCAGAAAAAGAGAGGGTTGAGGGCAAAAGGGGATTCGGCATACCTTGAGAGGCCAAGCCCACCCCGATACTCTCCCTTGTGGCAGCGCTGGCAGAGCTGCCCCCCTCCCATCCCCACAGACAGGCACCTGCACGGTTATAGGTGAGGGGGGTGGAGGCAGACAAAAGCGGGGAAGAAAAAGCAAGTGAGTTGGCTGGACCAGAGAAGGAAAAACAAAACTGAAGTTGATGAAATCGACAAGGCAAAACTGAAGAACAGAAAGAGAGAGAGACGAGGGCAAGAGGGCAGGTGACGTACCGTGAGAGGCCAAGCCCACCCCATGCTCTCCCTTGTGGCAGCGACTGGCAGTGCTGCCTCCCTCCCATCCCCACGGGTACCTGCACGGCCACAGGGGAGGGGCGTGAGGGAGCGTCGGTGTTGACCCCCGCCCCTCCCCTCCACCTGCAAGGCACACACGCAGAGCTGGTCAGTGGGCAGCGAGGGGATGAAGGGTGAGAGTGCAGGTGCGAGAAGACAGTTTGCAAGGCGAGAGCAGGGAGGGGCCACTGGTGGAGGCCAAGCCACAAAGCACAGACCCCAAGGGGTGAACCTGAGAGGGTACCTGCACCTGAAGGGGTTACCTGCACCTGAAGGGGTTACCTGCACCTGATCAACACCTGAGGTGTTACCTGGAGTTGGGGGGTCTGTGGCATGTGAGGCGGACCTAACCAGTAGCGCCGTTTCAAAAGGAAGGGTGCGAAAGCAGACGCAAAAAACGAAATGGCAGCAGCAAGGGCGAGGGCATGGAGGAAGGGACACTTAGCTAATTGTGAGAGAGCGAGCAGAGGGCAGCTGAAGCACCACTGCAGTCTTTACTCGATGCCAAGTGACCTGGTAAGGGGGGAAGAGAGAGCAAGAGCAAGTGAGTTGGCTAGAAGACTAGAAAGAAAACAAACTGAAGCTGAAGAAAACGAGAAGGCGAAATAGCAGAAAGGGAGAGCGATGAGGGCAAGAGGGCAGGTGACGTACCTTGAGAGGCCAAGCCCACCCCGATACTCTCCCTTGTGGCAGCGACTGGCAGTGCTGCCTCCCTCCCATCCCCACGGGTACCTGCACGGCCACAGGGGAGGGGCGTGAGGGAGCGTCGGTGTTGACCCCCGCCCCTCCCCTCCACCTGCAAGGCACACACGCAGAGCTGGTCAGTGGGCAGCGAGGGGATGAATGGTGAAAGTGCAAGAGAGGGAACGGCAGTTGCAAGGCGGGAGAGGGGAGGGGCCACTGGTGGAGGCCAAGTCACAAACTGCAGACCCAAGGGCTGCACCTGAGGGGGTACCTGCACCTGAGAGGGTTACCTGAAGTAAGGGGGTATGTAGCATGTGAGCCGGTCCCAACCAGTGGCGCTGTTTCAAGAGGAAGGTGCGAAAGCGCATGCAAACACGAGATGCAAGCAAAGTACACAAGACATGGCGAGGCAGGCAAGGGGTTGAGGGAACTTAGCTGTAAGGCGTGAGAGCGAGCAGAGGGCAGCTGCAGCACCACCAGGTGACTCCTTCCCCGGCAGCCCTCCTCCCAGCCTTCCCGTGTGCGTCCCTCCCTGCACGGCCACCGGGGAGAGGCGTGAGGGAATGGCGGTGCTGACCCCACACCCCTCCCCCCCACCTGCAAGGCACACACGCAGAGCTGGTGAGTAGACAGTGTGGGGATGGCAGGTGAAACAGCAAGAGCAGCAGAAAAATTGCAAGAAGGGGCCACTGGTTGAGACACAACTGCAAGGCACAGACCCCCAAGGGGACCTGAGGGGCTGTAAGGCTGTAGGGGGGCTGAACCTGAACCTGCACCTGAACCTGAACCTGAACCTGAACCTGAATTGAGGTCTGTGGCTTGCGAGTCGAGCCCCAACCAGCGGCGAGTTTTGGAAACAAACAAACTGGAAGAATAAACGAGAAGCAGAACAGTAGGCAAGGACCAAGGAGGCGAAGCACTTAGCTGAGAGTTGGAGCAGTGGTGGTGGTGGCGTGGGGGGTGCGGTGAAGGAGAGTGGGCAGGGGCGAGCGGAGGAGGTGCGAGCCAGCGAGGAGGGTTGAAGGGAAGGACCTGCGAGGCAAGGCAGGGGGGAGGGAGAGAGAGCAAGTAAGTGGCATGCGGGAGGGAGCGGCTGTTGCAAGTGAGAAGAGAGTCTGACAGCAGAGCGAGTGCAGAAACGACGGTGCATGTGATGCCGCCCACAGCCCCACAAGAGCCCCTACCAACCTGCACCTGCACCTGAACCTGAACCTGAACCTGAGGGGAATTGGGGCTCTAGAGGGGTGTGGTGGCGGGGCGATACTGCAACCTCGACCGTTGATGAGGCCGGCGCTGCTGCCCTGCTGCCCGCCCTCCTGCTGCCCGCCTTGGCGCCCCTCTTGCCTCCCCCTCTCCTCCCCTCGCCTGCTGCACTCCCCTCGCCTGCTGCTCGCCTGGCGGGGCAGGCAAGGGAGGGAGGAGAAGGAGCGGGGGGGCGAGGAGAAATGAGTTCAAGTCCCGGAACAGGGGGTGGGTGGCAGAGTGAGAGCTGCAATTGGTAATGCCGGTGATGCGTGCGTGAAGTGGGTATGATGTGAGCATGAGCACGAAACATGAGCATGAGTGCACAGCCAGGCAGGGCAATCACGCTGCAGACCTCAAGACGCACGCGGACAGCTAAGCAGGACAGACGGACGGACGGACGGACGGACGCAGGCAGGCAGACGGACAGCTAAGCATGACGCCTAAGCAAGACCATCCGTCTCCAACGCTCCCTCCCCAAAACTCCCTCTCCAACGCTCCCTCCCCAAAACTCCCTCTCCAACGCTCCCTCCCTGAAACTCCCTCTCCAACGCTCCCTCCCCAAAACTCCCTCTCCAACGCTCCCTCCCCAAAACTCCCTCTCCAACGCTCCCTCCCCAAAACTCCCTCTCCAACGCTCCCTCCCCAAAACTCCCTCTCCAACGCTCCCTCCCCAAAACTCCCTCTCCAACGCTCCCTCCCCAAAACTCCCTCTCCAACGCTCCCTCCCCAAAACTCCCTCTCCAACGCTCCCTCCCCAAAACTCCCTCTCCAACGCTCCCTCCCCAAAACTCCCTCTCCAACGCTCCCTCCCCAAAACTCCCTCTCCAACGCTCCCTCCCCAAAACTCCCTCTCCAACGCTCCCTCCCCAAAACTCCCTCTCCAACGCTCCCTCCCCAAAACTCCCTCTCCAACGCTCCCTCCCCAAAACTCCCTCTCCAACGCTCCCTCCCCAAAACTCCCTCTCCAACGCTCCCTCCCCAAAACTCCCTCTCCAACGCTCCCTCCCCAAAACTCCCTCTCCAACGCTCCCTCCCCAAAACTCCCTCTCCAACGCTCCCTCCCCAAAACTCCCTCTCCAACGCTCCCTCCCCAAAACTCCCTCTCCAACGCTCCCTCCCCAAAACTCCCTCTCCAAAACTCCCTCTCCAAGAGAACACACACAATCCGAAGGAACACACTCAATCCAGGGGAACACACATAATTCGAGGAAACACATTCAATCCAAGGGAACACACATATATTGAGGGAACACACAATGCGAAGGAACACACTCAATCCAACGGAACACACATAATCTGAAGGAACACACTCAATCCGAGAGGAGACACACAATCCGAAGGCGCACACTCAATCCGAGAGACCTCATAGCGTGTGTGTGAGAGGTGAGGACTTAGCTTGGGGTGGGAGACGCAGAGAGCGCCGTGTGTGACGGCAGAAAGTGGGCCCGAAATTGCTGGTGGCGAGATCGCCAAGTCGCAGGCACCCACCAGCGCGGCGCCCGTCTGGGGGGGTGGGAACGGCGTGTGCGTACGGCTGCCTGCAGTGGGTGGAAAGACGCGGCACAGCGTGCGTCAGGCAAGCAGCTCGCGAAGCGTAAATTCACTCGAAATTGACCTATTCGGAATTATATTTGCTAAATCAGACCGCAAAATCAAACTTCGGGATATGTTCGCGGAATTGAAACGGGAAACGGAAATGCGAAGCGGATTGATCGAGACGGGAAAGTGAACAAAAGAGACATTGGGCCGCGAGACACACGGGATTATGATTCGCGAAAGCGAAATTGATTCCAAAATCGACAATCTGCATGGGTGTGGCTTCTAGGAATACCTGAGGTGCCAGACGAGGCAGGCGAGCCAATCTGAACTCGCGCGTATTCGCCGAAAATCGCACGGACAGCCAGATGACGTTGGTCGTTCGAGTGACATGTCGGCTCCCCAGTATACCTGCACCATGCAACCAGCATACACGTCAGTCGCGCCACTGAACAATCTCCTGTGTGCTAAAACGAAATCATAACGCACCACTAAATAATACTCGGATACGCTAAAATCAATCACACTCACTCAGAATTACCTTGTACAAACAAATCGTCATCTTCGCGTTTGCTCTTCCATGGTCTGCCAAAGCTTCCAGGCTTCATGACACCAACACGCGGCTTCCTCATCCCGTAAACGAAGCTTCAGTAAAAGCCAGACCCGAAGCAGAATGCCTAAGCTTGAGTTGACAACGAGCATCGCCTAGCGGCTCGCCTTTCCGCAACGCAGCAGCTCTAAGAAAGCGAGCAGAAGAAGCTAAGCGTGAGAAACTGAGAGCAAGAGGCGAAAGCGCTGTGAAATTCGAGGCTCAAACGAGAATGAGGCGAGAGACGACGGTCACGCTGGCTGGAATGAGGCGGAGGGGTCACCAACTGCGTCTCCTCTCCTCTCACAAAATCCCTCTTGTCAGATCTACCGTCCAGAATCACTGGATTATCTGAATTCCTCTTGGTAATCAAGATCTCAGCCGTAGGTTCGGACTTTTTGCGTGTTTCGTCACGGCAACCCCAGCAAGCTCCGCATTGGTCTACAGGCTAACGGCTGTGTTGGGTCGCGAGGAAACGTGACGGTGGCTGCGAATGGTTGGTTCGGTCAGGCTGAATGTTTGTCCATGACTGTGAGATTCGAGAGTCCATTTCGGTGGCTGGTTGAGAATCGTCCGCGTGGCAGATGACTCTGCCGGTCAGGGAAGGGAAAAGAAAGTTCCCAAGTTTACGCCGTTTGCTTGTCCCCTCATTTCACCTCAGCGACTACGCGAGACAAACGACACCGACTTTCTTCAGCGAGATTCCGTTGACAAAGGCGGGAGCTACGGGATTTCACTGGTGAACGTTGGACTCCGTGAACTAGGAACCGTCGATTGTCCTCTCATCTGGAGCCGCAGAGCCGTCATGTCAGTCTGGAACGCGGCAAGCCCAATGGCTTGAATTTGAAGCTGTGGTTCCAGCTAGTAGGAGCGAAGTCAATCCTAGCCGTGGATACAGATTCTAGGTAAGCGGCTGCGATTGGGATCTGGGTTTGAGGCTGTCCATCTGATCTGACCTTTGTGAAAAATGGGCGAAGTTGGCGAACGATCTCTGCTTCGCACCTATTCTGTTACTCGTCGCTGATTCGTCGGGGGATATGATCTTCCTGACACCACTGATGGGCTTGAAAGCCAACACATATTTCCGAATAAAAGAAACTCTCCAGGTACACCAAGAAAGGGTACAATAAAAGAACACAACAATGAGAAACTATAATTAGTGCAACACTATAAGTCATTTTCAACAGCACGGGACATCCAGTGACAGGAGGTGGGTTGTTCAGAGTAGTCATCCTCTTTTACAACATTACACATGTCTTGTATAGTGGCTCTTGACGGGCTGCTGACAGGCCAGCCACATTGGACTCACATCGCAACCTAGCCACGACATGCCATTGTTTTAAACGAAACAAGCGAGCCAATGTACGAAATCATGATCACACTTCGTAACAAAACACTTTCAACCATCTACTTGGGTCATCACAGATGAATCCCTTAGTTGCTTGAGTCAGGAGTCGGCTTGTGCCGTAACCTTGGAATGTTTGGCACTCATTAAGCCTCTTCACATCGCAGCCGCGCCAGCAGAGTGGGATGAGGATGAGGAGAGGGAACCAACATAATTGGGGATGGGCCCGCACCGCAAGGCATCAAAATCGGCCCGGACAAACGCAGGCACCGGCATGGAGCACACTGCACCGTGGCAGTTGCTCGCAGTTCCCGCCGTGCCACTGCTGTTACCGCGGTTACCGCCAGCATAGGGCTTAGCATCCACAGCTTCGCCGACTGTGAACTGGCGATGGTGCTGCTGCTGACCTTGCTGCTCAAGAAGCTTTTTCAGGTCTTTCGACCTGCTTCCTCCCACCTCCCCATCATCCACCTCTGCAGCAGCAGTCCAGCTACCAGACGCCTTGCGACAGCCAGAAGCACTCAAGCCACACCATAAGCACTCGTACTGCCACCCTTCTATTGCCTCCTCCCACTCCCCATCCTCCCGTGCCGCTGCACTGCTCTCTTCGACCCCTTCCTCCCTCATCCCTCCTATTCTCCCCCCTGCTTTCCGTCCCGCTCCTCCCCCCTCCAGCTCATTCTCTTCAGCTGCTACGACCATGAGGGGGCGGGCACAGCTGGGGCAGGTGGGAACTGCCCCTCCCGACCCAAAGCAAGGGCTCCAGGAAGCAGCGTGCAAGGGGAGGAAGGGTGGCGTGGTGGGAGCAGGGGACGTGGCACCGCCACCAGCACCGTTACTCGTACCTGTGTCGAGACGGAGTGCCTCGCCCAACCCCACGGCATGACTGCGAGTGGAGAGAGCACTGGTTTCAACAGAATCAGCAGCAGCACCTGAAGCACCTGCAGCACCTGGAGCATCAGGAGCAGCCCCAGAAGACCTGGGTTCAGAGGAGACACTGCGTGACCTGCGAGCACCCGTGGGCAGTGCCAGGCGGAACCCTCCTGCAGCAGCAGCCGCCGCCGCCGCTGCTGCCGCAGTTGCCGCAGAAGCTAGCGACGGGAACCGAGAAGAAGAAGCAGCCATGCGCGAGCGAACAGCAGCAGCAGCTGATGCAGACGCAGCAGAACCCCCCGCGCCTGCAGCAGTGAATGCGGCAGCAGCAGCAGCCGATGCCGCTTCTTGACACACAGCCGCTAGCATTGCCTCTTGTGACTGCTGCAGGTTTGCCAAGTTCCTGCGGAGACTTGCGTTCTCCCGCTCTGCCTCGTCCCTGCGCCTCTCGGCCTCTGCTCGCCTGCTCTCGCTCTCCTGTAGTGCCTGCTGCAGCTGCTGCATTCCTAGCTGTGACTCGTCCACTGCACCCTGTAGTGCTGCACACTCCTGTAGGGCATCAGGGGTGAAGCAGAAGTGTGGGCAGGAGAGATGCGGGGGAGCAAGAGAGAAAACGAAGGGCAGGGGTGCGTAAATAGACCAGAGCTACAGCAAAGGATGCCAGACATGTGACAGGAGCAGCATCGAAGCACTACAGACGCATCAGATAACGCCACAGAAGCAGCACAGCAGCATCAAGAAACCATGAAACAGCAATGAGAGGAATGCGGCAGGCGCAGGCAAGCGCATACCGCTTCAATGAGTCGGTGCGAGTGGTAGAGTCGCCGAATCTCAGCAGACACGGAGTCCCAGTGCACAGGCTCGCCCCGAGCCACCCACCCCTCCATCCGCTCATGCTGCTGCTGCTGATGATGATGACGATGCTGCTGGTGCTGGTGCTGGTGATGCTGGTGCTGGTGTGTGCGGTATAACTGGTGGTGGTTGTGCTGGCGTTGGTAACTCGCACTCGAGTGCAGCACAGCAGCATGGCAGCTGGAGGACAGCAGAGACACCGTTGCTGCAGCCGCGGCCGCTGCTCCTCCTGTCCCCCTCCCATCCAGCAGGAGGGAAGACGCCATGTGTTCGCTCCCACTGACCGACTCCATTCTACTAGCGCCCCCACCAGCACCATCGCCAGTAGCAGCAGCGGCAGCCGCAGGAGCCGAAAAAGAGGGGAGAGCAAGAGGGGAGGAGGAAGAGAGGAGGGAGCGGAGGGGGGGAACAGCAGCAGGGCAGCACCAGCGGAGGTAGAGCTCGGGCAGGAGAACAGGGGCGAGAGAGGCAGCAGGGGGGAGAAGAATGGCAGGGGACGGAGGGGATGGAGGGAAGAGAGCCATGTGGCGTATTTGAAGAGGAGGGCAGGACGTAGGGCGGGTAGCTGCCTGGGTGCAGGGGCTAATGCTGCTGCTCGTGCTGCTAGTTGCTGTGCAGACAGCAGCAGTGGCAGCTGGAGCAGCAGCAGGAGCAGCAGGAAAAACGGCAGAAGCTGGAGGAGAAGAGGCAGCGAAGATGGAAGAGGGAGAGTAGAGGGGGTTGACATGCGGGTGGCTCAAGGGACAGCAAGGCGCAGCAGCCGCTAAGTCACCAGATGCTCCCATCGGCCTTCCCCTGCCTGCATCCCCACCAGCAGCAGCAGCAGAGGAGGAGGACGGAGAGGAGGAGGGAGGGGAGGGGTCCCTCATGCGCCTTAGGTGTTCCCAGACGCACGAAGGGGGGAGGGATGCGGGCGAGTGGGTGGCATGGGAGTGCGGGAAAGGGTGGGGGCGCGTGGAGGAGTGGTAGGTGCGTGCAAGCGAGCGCTCCTTGTCGTTGTTGCAGAGGAAGTTGGCAAAGCGACATGAGAGTACAGAGTCTAGAAGATCCACTAAAAACGCCTGCACATGGTTGCATGCAGGGGAGAGAGAGGGAGTGGGGGTTGAATATATATATCGAGGAGTGCGATGAAAAAACAGAACCAGGGGGCGGAGGAAGGGCATGCGGCGAGTGAAATCGGGAGGAGGAGATGGAGAAGCAGCGTGGCAGGGACGATATTGTGTTCCTAATGTGTTATAAAAGAAGCTCATGAGTTTGGAGGCAGCCACATGGGGAAACGTACCGTGGAGAATTCAAAGGCGCGAGGGAAGAGGCGCAGCAGCTGTGCCACTGCATCGACCCACTGCACACACAAGACATGGGAGAAGAAGCATCAGGGAAGTGAAACGCATGTAAGCGAGAATACTGAGAGACAAGAAGCAGCAGCTGACTGATTTGATGTGGACTGTTTTGCATGTGGACTGATTTGCGTGTGGACTGTTTTGCATGTGGACTGTTTTGCATGTGGACTGTTTTGCATGTGGACTGTTTTGCATGTGGACTGTTTTGCATGTGGACTGTTTTGCATGTGGACTGTTTTGCATGTGGACTGTTTTGCATGTGGACTGTTTTGCATGTGGACTGTTTTGCATGTGGACTGTTTTGCATGTGGACTGTTTTGCATGTGGACTGTTTTGCATGTGGACTGTTTTGCATGTGGACTGTTTTGCATGTGGACTGTTTTGCATGTGGACTGTTTTGCATGTGGACTGTTTTGCATGTGGACTGTTTTGCATGTGGACTGTTTTGCATGTGGACTGTTTTGCATGTGGACTGTTTTGCATGTGGACTGTTTTGCATGTGGACTGTTTTGCATGTGGACTGTTTTGCATGTGGACTGTTTTGCATGTGGACTGTTTTGCATATGCCATTCAATCCATGACAGGCGAGCACAGGACAGGACAGCACAGGCACAGGGTTTTACCTGGAAGAACACGGGCGACTGGTTGTTGCTGCTGTTGGCCTGGAACGTCGACCCTGCCACACTGCTGCTCGCCACAGGGAAACCCGACGCTGATAGCGATGACAGGGAGGCAGCAGCTCCAGCAGCAGTAGCGGTGGCACCCCCAGCAGGAGCAGCAGTAGTGGCAGCAGCAGCACCACTCGCAGAACTATTTACACCATGAACAGGAGCACCGCACCCAGCAGCACCGCACCCCACACCTACTCCACCAGCAAGAGCACCAGGGCTGGCAGCGGCAGCGGCGGCGAGGGAGAGAGCGGGGTTGGTGCGAGAGGAGGAGGAGGCGGTGGGGGGTTCTGCTGGCACACCTAAGCGATCTGCAAAGGGATGGCCAAAGGCCGCCCAGTGCGTCTCCACTAAAGACTGCAGGGCAGAGAGGGGAGGGGGGTGAATGTGGGGGTGGGTTCGAGTCGTCTCAACACTCAATGTGCAGAGGAAACGAGTGAAGAGAAAGATGGACTGGTGAGAGCAGGTGGTAGGGTTGTAGTAGGCAGCAGGGCTTCAAGGCAGCAAGCCAACAGGGCAGCAGGGCAGCAGAGCAGCAGAGCAGCAGGGTAGTAGGGTGATAGTATGAAAGTGCAGCAGAGCGCAGTCGACTCAAGGACAGTACCTGGAAGCCTTGGAAGGTGCGGTAGTAGGGGTCCAGCAGCAGCATAGCCAGTGACACGAGCGACGGCGTGCGGTCCCACCCGTCACTGCACCATGCACACCCACGGCAAGGTGTGGTTACGGGAACAGGGTAGGGGCGAGAGATGCAGGAAAGGTGAGGCAAGCAATAGATGAAAGCAGCAGCAAGGGCATGACCAACGTCCTTCATCTCACCCTTCCACCCACACCCTCCCTCTTTCCCCTCCCCCCCGTTCCCACACTTTCCTGCCTCCCCTCCCCTCCCTCCTTGGCTTCACCCTCCCCCCTCCGCCGTCCCCTGTTTCCCCTCGCTCACCTGCAGTGCACAAGGACGGAGTTGCCCTGCATGGCGATCTGCGCAGCGATGAAGACGGCACCGGAGAGCAGCGAGTGGCAGTGCTGCAGCCAGCACGAGTCCACCAGCGCCGCCACCACCTGCGATGTGCCGCTCACTGACCCGCCCGTCCACCCGCCCGTGCCGCTCCTCTGCGCGGTTGGGAGAGCAGGTGGGAGAACGCATGCACGGGCGTGGAGGTTGCATGCAAGTCACACATGGGCACACAGGCATTCAGGCACACGGGCACACAGGCATATGCACAGGCACACAGGCAAGCCCAAAGGGAGGACTCAGCATGAGAGGGGGATTTGGAAACCAGACAGCGAGATTAGAGCGGGGAACGATGTGACGGCAACGCAAGTCAGAACGCAGTGTATCGAGCAGGGAAAGGGGGAGGGGGAGGAAATGGGGGAGAGGAGAGCGGGAGGTGGGTGGGAAGTGGGAGCGAAGGGGGGGGTTGGGAATAGGGAAGGAGAGTATGAAATTGGTGCCAGCGTTGGCAGTGGTGGTAGGTAGTGCTAGAGGCAGTGGTGATGGTTGGTGGAGAGGTGTGTGGGGCACTGACGAGCAGGGAGGAGGAGCCATCAGAGCAGGCAGAGCCATGGGTGTCGAGGTATTCTCTCAGACGGTTCATGCTGTCGCGCACTGCATGGATGTTGTCAATTCCTAGATACACCACCTGCCAGCCACCATGCACACATGCCCGCACACAGCATGCATGCACAAACATGCACACACATGCACGCACAGCAAATGTACCCACCTCCTCCCCACCCCCCCCACCCCCCCCAATCCCCCCCCACACACACATAGCCACTCGCACACACACAGAGATACTCCCCCACACACACACAGCCCCTCCACACACATATAGCCCCTCTCACGCACAGCCACACAGAGCACAAGCGATGGGGTCAGCACCAATGAGGGCACATGATCAAGCAACTGTACGATCGTGCAGGCGCGACGAAGTAAGCATCAATGCATGATCTCCTCGAATGGAAAGCAGGAAGAAACGCCACGCAACCGCCAAACAGGCAGTGTAGCATACAAAGAAGCTAATGGAAAAAGGATGATACGCCAAAACCAAGTTGCAAGCAGGAAAGGCAAGGTGCTTCGGGGGGGGGGGGGGGAGGAGGAGAGGGAAGGGGAGAAGGGGGGAAGGGTAAGAGGGGATGGGGGGAGGAGCTCAGGGTTACGGAAAGGGGGTTGAAGAACAGATTGAGTGATGCGCGGGTGGTGTGCAGAGACGCACCTCTGTGCCGCGATAGTTGGCAGATGACTCATATCCGCCTCCCATGGCCCCATTGGCTATGGCATTCTTGCGCGGCCGTGCATCTGCCACCACCAGACGCCTGCTCATGCATGGCATGGCATGGCATGGCATGGCATGGCAGCACATGGATGCAATGAGGGACAAAAACGCCAGACGCGCAATGTGGAAGGATGAGGACACAGTGCAGCAGGGCAGTTCGCACGGACCTGCAAACAGCATCAATTGACCAAAGCAAATCGTGGCACAAGCACAGACGCTCACTGCCCACAGTGGCACCAATCGCATGCACACTTCTCCCCCCCAGAACCCAGCGCAACCCCCATGCACCAGTAGGAGCAGCACGCACCTGAAGGACTCTCCAGGGAGAGCAGGGCCGGCTAGCGCTGCAACCAGACGCTCATCCGCATCACTGCATGAGGATGGCGATGCGGTGAAGAGGGGGCAGTCAGAGGGGACGACGAGAGCAGCACACACGTGAGAAGGCGCGTATGCGCGGTGTGAGCAAGTGTGCTGATTAACAGACGATATGAGCATGACAAGTGCGGAGGGGAACGGGCAGGCATGGGAAGCGAGCGCAGTGGTGCCGCGCAGGGGTGCCGTGCAACGGTACCTTCTATTATTGGAAAGGATGCCGACTAGAGGTTGTGCTGCCCGGCTGAGCACAGCACCATTGCCTGGCATACACAGACGCACGACGCAAAGGGGAAAGGCAGAAGAAAAAGAGTGGGGCAAAGGAGGCCAAAAAAAGGAGCGAGGGGATAAACAAGAAGCAGAGGGGAGCAGGGTTGGGGAAGGTTGTGGGTGTGATAGGATGCGACAAGACAGCGCTGTGGAAGGGGGGGTCTATGGATGCAAGGAGAGACAATTACGGTGCCAATGTGGAGACGGAAGGGTAGAATCACTCATACATAGGCAGGCAGAGCCACATGAGTTTCATGCACATGACACGCACATGCACATGCATGCATGCTTCATGCATGCGCACACACATACGCACCTGGGTGCTGCCAGCACATGACGGGAAAGCGGCCTCTGGCACGGAAGGCAGCAGATGCCATGGCGTCCTCGTCACTGGGGGGCCGGCACAGGGAGAGAGCACACAGCGAGGGCACACCAGGAGAGCACGCAAAGCACGGGTTGATTGGGAGGGATCCAGGCATGTGATGGTGGGGAGAAGAGGGCAAGGAGACAGAGGATGTGACTGATGGGGGAGGGCGTACTGATGGGGGAGGGCGTACTGATGGGGGAGGGCGTACTGATGGGGAAGGGCGTACCTGATGGGGAAGGGCGTACTGATGGGGAAGGGCGTACTGATGGGGAAGGGCGTACTGATGGGGAAGGGCGTACCTGATGGGGAAGGGCGTACTGATGGGGAAGGGCGTACCTGATGGGGAAGGGCGTACCTGATGCAGGAGGGCAGGAGCAGGCGTTGCGGGTAGGAGGAGCAGGCCGCATAGGAGGCGTTGACTGGGCTGATCTGCCAGAGGCGGCGCCAGTGCTCTGGCAGCATGGCCAGCACTCGCATGCACTCCGCCATCACCACCCCTCCCGCCTCCTGCCCTGCCCGCACACCCCCCGCCTGCCCAGGGGCACCTGCAGCAGCTGCTGCCGCTGCTGGTGCTGCAGGAGGAGGTGGGAGTGGGGGCGTGCTGGCACGAGGAGGAGTGGCAGTGCCAGGACTAAGGGCAGCATGTGCTGTGGGTGACAGCAAGGCACCCTCCTCAATGCTGCCTGCGCTGCTGCTGCTGCTGCTGCTGCCGCTTCTGCTGCTGCCACTTCTGCTAGTGCTGGCGCTGGTGCTGGTGGCGGCAGTGGGCGCGGCGAGGGCAGCAAGGGGCGGATGGAAGACAGGTAGCTCGAGCAGCGAGCGCGGCAGCAGGTGGATGATGGTGTCAAATACAGGGGGTGCCTGTTACCACACAGACACACACACACGCACGCACGCACACACACGCACGCACACACACGCACGCACACACACGCACGCACACACACGCACGCACGCACGCACGCGCGCGCGCGCGCACACACACACACACACGCACAGCACAGCACAGCAGCACAGTACAGTGCAGAGAACATGGACGCACAGACGATGCATACAGCGAGGAGTGCAACAAATGAGTCGAACTATTCATGGGTGCTGGTCAGGGCAGATCAGGGGCGACGAATTCGGAGAAGAGAGGGGTGCAACGAGTAGAGGAAACAGGGGGGGGGGGGAGGGGGGGGGGGGGGCTGGGAAAGGACGAGGGCAACGAGGACAATAAAGAGACAAAGAGAACGTGACGAGTCTGGAAAAGGCAACTGCATACGGATATGCATGCGCAGGGACAAGCGCGCGCACAACCACACACACACACACACCTGTGCGCAGATGCGAGGAGGCAGCGCATACACCAGCACTCGAGCGTCCTTGGCTGCTCACAGAGCATCAAGCATCAAGAGCATCGGTAGAAACACAGAGGCAATACCTCAGTGCTGTCGACACAGAGCGTTTACATTACAGACGAAGCGAAACACAAACGAAGCACTCAGGCGAAGGCGTGAAAGGCAGCAAGCAGCAGCACTTACTGTGCACCTGCAACAGATGGTCTCTACTGTGGGCCAGTCGCCCTGGAGGCTGCACAATGGGACACGACAGCCAGACACATGCACACAGCGCCACACACAAGACACAAGAGACTGTCAGTGTTTACTGTTCAGCACCATGATACCAGAACCGATCGAAAGAGCAGGGGACATGGGGGAGCGGGGACGCGGTGCAGGTTCCGCTCACTGAAAAGCAAGCCAGATAGCTTTCCCAAAATACTTAGAATCTTGCCCCCCTAGTGCAGGCAGAGCGGCGAGCGAGTGCGAGCATGGCCTGGGGCGTGGCTTATCAAGGGTAGGTAACGACAGGTGAGGCGGCGGTAACCCACCAGCTTGGCCACTCGATCGATGACTGGAAAGTACACTGAGCCCATGGGGTGCGGTGACAGCGCACACGGCGGGGACGCAGGGACAGCAGCAGATGGGTGTGCGGCGGGAGAGGGGGAGGTGGAGAGGAAGAGGATGCGGAGGGAGGTGAGCAGGAGGTGTCCTGTGGTGTCCGTGTTGACTAGTAGCGTGTTAGGCTCCTGCCAGCACAACGCAAGGGCGTGAACCAAGCGGTGGAAAGAGAGAGGTGAGGACACCGGGAACAGCGTTCAGACCAGCTTGCAGACTGGCGTAGATAATATGTGAGTAAACTGCCACCGCTGCTTACCTCCAGAACCACTTGTTCAGTGGGCAGCAGGAACGGCAGCGAGTCACGAACCGAGCTGCACCACGGAGACACGCACCTCGCACCACTCCCAACACCTACGCCCGTGTTGTTGCTGCTGCTGCTCCGCGCCACTCCCCCCGCGCCCCCAACTGCCCCAACGTAACCAACACCGTCGTTCAATGGTGTATCAACCCCGTTGGTCCTGCTGCTGCTGCCAGCGCGAGCAGTGCCACTCTGCCCAGGGAAGTCCATACCATCAGCCACACTGCTACCCAAACGGTTATACACGTTCCACGCGCCTGCACGGCCGTGAGAAGAACCGGGAAGAGCAGACGCCGCACCTGAACCCGCAACGCCACCCGCACCAGCAGCATCGAACGCGAAGGACACACTCTGAGACAGTCCCCTGGACCCCACATCGGCTGCACTCTCCGTTACTCCACGCCAAGGAGCCGCCGAGAAAACGGAGCTTCGCCCGTCCAAGCGAAACAAGCCTCCGTCCCAACGGCTGCTGCTGTTGCTGCTGCTGATGCCGCCGCCGCCACCGCTGCTGCCGCTTGTGGGGTTGCCAGTGGTGCAGGAAGCGGGATTCTGAGCGTTGTCCCCGCTGTGGGGATTAGTTGCACGTGCGTCTCCCCCTGTAGCGTGCAAGAAGTCATGCGACGGGGAAGCCCCGCCGGGAATAGCACCAGACGCGCTGCTGTTGCTCCCCGTGCTGGCCGTGAGCTGCAAGGGAGAAAAGGGGAGGAGAAGAGACGAGGGCGGATCCATGAACGAGCGATGCACACACGGAGCATGGCCGGGAGAGTCAGAGCGTGACAAAAGAAATTAATCGGTTAATCGCATGCGTATAATCATGATGCGGCACAGCTCTGGAGGCTTAAATAGCTCGTGTGTCGACCTTAAACTAGAACTCAGGTTAAACGCAAATACAGCACAGTCGTCTTGACGTCATTGAGCCGTTACTAACTCGGAATCAGTTAGGTTTGACCTAGACTGACTGGGAAATAAATCTCATAGTCGCTCACGCTGTTTAAGGAGCGAAACGTGTCAGGTAAGTCAACCAGGACTGACAAAGTAAATACGGCAATAAGGTAAGACAGGGTGACAAGGAACTGACGTCATCGTTGACGTATGTCCAGCGATCCCCGCCGAGAATGCTTCCCAGATCTACGAATCCATTAGAGTCCCCTCCTGGACTTTCCAACGCGTCCTTGGCTTCCATGCCCATATCTCGATATAATCTCCTGCTGTCACGGACTAAGCGCTTAAACTAGTCAACCGCTGCACGGCAACGGAGCCTACTAGCACCGGTCGTTGACAAGCGTAGGAGAAGATACAGAGGTACTAAGGCAGACTTTAGTTCCTACAGCCAAAAGGGACGACAGCACTTCGTGCGACGGTGCATGGGGGTGGAAGCGGTCAACGGCACAGCCTGAGGAAGCGGACGCGAATCACGAAAATCCATGCTGGAGCTCTCTACTCTACCTCGGTTGTTGTCAGTGGGACACACTCACGGAGGTCAAGCAAATCAGAAAGGCAGGATGAGGCGAAGAGTGGTTTGGTGTTGGTTTCAAGAATTCCCATGCGCTGTTCTCACACGCGTCCCAAACGCGAATTCCCACCAGAAACTACCCCTGCTCGCCAGGTGTACACCCACGAGGCAGGCTTGAGGGAAGAGAGGTGTAATGTCAAGGGAAAGAGATCTGACCCCTGATTGCGTGCCATACTACAGGTTCGACCAGAAATGGGTCCTGAAAAGCATCGAAAGGTTTTGGAACCCCTTTGATGACCCCTTTGGGAATCGGTGATTGGAGAAACTGACTGTCCGTCCAGAACGTGACTGCCCGTCTTCACGGTGAGATTCAAGGAACGTCGATGGGACGTCCATCTTGACGGAGATGGTTTGTTGGTACGAGAGATGACGTCTGCTGATTGGTTGATGTGTGGTCGGAGTCTGCTCGATGACCGAACCCGAAATCGCAGCTGGTGAATGCGGCAACGACCTTGCATGCCGGCCATCTCAGCGCGGCATGGCGTGTCATGTCAAAAAAGTTCTCTCAGAACTGATGCGATTTCGAGATTACTTTAGTGACAGCGCCGTTTACTCATGTACATGGACAAAGACAACATCCTTAACAAAATGATGTGGTGTTGCTTAATACACACGCAATTATGTTTAAGGTTGACATTTGTGATGTTGGACCATGTCTGCAGTTTTTTACAGCTCTGATTGATTATCATTGAACGAAAAAAAAAAAAAGCAAACAAACAAACAAACATAGAAAACTTTGTTCACCATGCATGTGGGCGCATGACATTATGCGAACTCGAAATAAAGGAGTCCACCCCAAAGGCGTATGAAAACAAACAAGTGTTGTAACAAATAGAAATGCTACAAAAGGTTCTGATTAACTACATACATAGATAGACGACTACTACCGTACTACGTAAACCTACTTATATTTTCAAAACATGTAAAGGAAAGCACGTTCTTCTTGTGTCATTGCGTGCCTGAAATGGCATCGATGGCCATATGGGCATTGCTTCCCTGAAGCAATCATGCGACATAATTCCGTCTTGTAACGCGGATGCCGCAAAATAGGTCGCATTTCCTCCACTCCATGGGCAAACTGTAGTAAGGGGGCCAGCAACAAGCAGCACATGAGTTGGAGAGGAGTACTGAAAATCAGGAAGAGAAGCGGGAGTGAAAAGGAACGTGTGTGATCCACCCGGGGAGAGAATAAAAGGTGTAGACACGAAAGTAGCCCTAAAACACGATGACAAAGAAACAGTTGTACAGTGCTAGCATACCTGGCATCTGTTGCCGTAGGGACAGGTGCCCATCTCCTCCCACTTGTTGCAAAGCTCTGTCTTGTACGTCCCTTGATCATACACATCCAAGGCTGCGGCCGCAGCCGCTGCTGCTGCGGCGGCCGCTACCGCCACTGTCCCCCCTCCTCCGCCCATACCTGAAGTGGCACCTTCGCTCCTCTCCTTCACACCATCCCTCCCCCTGCCCCTCTCGCTGGAAGCAGCAGCTCCACTGGCACTGAGTCTAGACTCAGACGAATGGTTCTCCTCAACCCTCCGTTCTCTGCGCCGGCTGCGAGGCATCATACCTTGTGCTGTGTCGGGCTCATTATCCACCCACGCACGGCTACCTACCCCCTCCTCGCGCCTCACTCCCCCACCCCCTGCTGCTCCCCCTCCTCCTCCGCCTCCTCCTCCTCCTGTACCACCACCCAAGCGGGAAAATACACTCCCCTTTGCCGCAGCACCAGCAGAGGCAGCAGGGGAGGGCACGCCTCGATGAGGCCGCAAGCTCCCCTCACCGCCCACTGTCACCATCCTTCCACTGCCACTCGTTGCCACGCCTTCCCTTGAAGGAAATGCTCCTGGCGAACCCATTCTCGTGCCTGTAACCTCAAGCCTACCCTTGAGAGCTCCACCTGCTGCACTCGTGTCTCTACCTCCTCCTCCATGCCGCTCCTCTGTGCCTCTTTCCCTGGCCTGTGCACTGCCACCACCGGTCACTGGCTTTGCGGCTGCTACTAATGCTGTGCCCTCTGCTGCTGCGGTCCCCGACACGCCTCTCTTCCTGCTGCCGCTGCTACTACTCAAGGCAGCAGCAGGTGCTGATGCAGAAGGAGAAGCTGATGCAGCTGGAAAGAAAGCACCAGCGGGTGACTTGGGTGGAGGAGAGCTTAGCAATGCACCAACAGCAGCAGGAGCTGCAGCATCACTAGAAGCCGCAGCAGTGGCAGCAGCTGGTGCGCTACCACCACCACCATTACCCGCTTTTCCGCCTGCACCTCTCCCCACGCCCTCTCCTGCTGCCCCTCGTTCCCTCGCCGCCAGGGCAGACACAGCAGCACCAGCAGGCAGCTGGTTAGCTCTAACGGAGATGCTCTTAGGGAGGGGAAGAGGCAGCGGCTGCGCAGTAGCAGCAAGGGCTTCAGCCCGCCCCACAGGCAGCAGAGCCGTGCCTTCAGACACAATAGACGTCACTATCCCCTCCACTAGCTTGGGGGCAATGGAGGGCAGGGGAGGCTGTACGGGTGGATGGATGGAGGCAGGAGCACTAGATGGTGTGGAGTTACCAGGCTTGCCAGCTCTCAGCCTAGAGGGGGCGTCTGGGACTGGCTTGGAAGCACGGGCATGCAGGGAGGTAGCAGAGTTGGGAGACATTTCAGGGGCAAGGCGAGGCGAGTGGGAGTCAGAGGCGAGTCTTGGCTGGGAAGATGGCCTGTTCAGGGAACCCGGGGCTAGTACCCCCGGTGTAATACCCGGCATAGCATCGGCATGCGCAGGTGGAGAGACTTTGCCTTGAGGCAGAACCTTCCTTTCTCTCTCTGGTGCTTTCTTGACGTCGAGCATGGGTGTGTCGGGATCAAGAGGCCTTCCTCCCATGTCGCTCCTGCTGTTAGCCCATGGCCTCACACGTGCAGCAGCACCAGCAGTTGCAAGGCCCGTGGGGGCCGTCGCAGGTGCAATGGGAGCAGCTGCAGAGGCAGAGGAGCCTGCTTCAGCCGCACCTGAAGCACTGGCTACCACAGCAGCAGCTGTAGCAGCCTCTGATGATTTAGCACCCGTGCTAGACTGAGGAACAGGAGGCGAGACAGCAGCGGCAAAGGTACGCGGTGGGGGAGAGAAAGCAACGGGCGGAGAGGAGAAGGCCTGAGCGGGCGTGAGTGGAATACTGGTGGTAACCAGGCGGGAGTGGAAGGGCATGGCCGGGCGGGGAGTGAGGGGAGTGGGGCCAGGCGAGGACATGGAGAGGAGGAACGCCATGGAGCTGTCTGTGGGGGTGCTGCCTGCTCCAGTGGCAGCACTTGACCCACCAGCAGCAGCGGCGGCGGAGGCAGCTGCACCCGAAGCGGCAGGAAGAGGCGACTTTGCTGCAGCGGGAGCACCGGTTGCCATTGCACCAGCAGCCGCAGCCGCAGCAGCAGCTGCACGCCCCCCTGCTCTCCCAGTTGACATCACAGCCGCACTGAAACTGGGCACAGCAGGGGATGAACGGCAGGATACGTTGAGCCCACCAGAAGCTTCCTTGGACTCCAACTGACGTGCATCAACAGCAGGCTGACGTGGCTCCACGTCATGCATCTTCTCGTCTGGCTGGGACTGCCACGTCGGCCTCCTGAACACCTCAGCTGGACTATCTGTTAAATCTACCCCTCCCGATCCTGCGGTTTCCATGGAAACGTCTTGTGCGGCTGTGGCTTCAGCAGGGCGTGTGTGGAGCGTCTCTGGTGTTGCTGGGACAGCATGGCCTGTGCGTTGCAGATCGGGTACCGAAGTCGGAGTGAGGGGAGGAGCTGGAGTCTTGACAGCAAAATCAGTTGCTGTAGCCGCTGCAGCAGCGGCGGCGGCAGCGGCAGGTGCAAGGGAGCATGCTTGTAGAACAGCTCGGCCTGGCAGCAAGAGAGTGCTGGGTTCAGGGAGCTTTTCAAAAATGGCCCCTCGGGCCCCACCACCATCATCACCACCGTGGGCATCAATGCCACCATCAGAAGCACCAAAATCACCATCACCCCTTGGCATCTCAGCCTCTCCTCCCTCCTTCCGCTCCTTCTCACCACCCACCCGCACCTCCTGCTTCTCTTTCTCCTGCTGCTCACTCTGCTTTGCCTTACCAGATTCCGGAACATGCGGAGCAGCAGCACCAGCAGCAGCAGCAGCAGCAGCAGCAGTAGCAGCGGCAGCAGCGGAAGGACCCCTCTGCACCTCAGCCAGGAGCAGTTTGATTCTCTCCTCTGTGGTCACCAGGTCGTCAGCAGCAGACACCACACCCCCATGCCTTGCACTGCCAACGCTGGTGTGCGATATTGCTGCCTGCCGTGTGCTCACTGCGGGTAGGTCTTCAGTGCCTGCTTTTTCTTGTGGTGATTGCCCAGCCAGCGGTGACCAGGGAGGCATGTCCGCGCCTTGCCCTTGTTGCTGCTGCTGTTGCTGCCGCCTGGTGCCTACTGCCAATGCTGCATTGGATAACAAGGAGGGGGTAGAAAGCGCAGAAGCCAAAGGAGCAGGAACATGGCCTTATTGGAACCTCAGTATGTTGTTGCATACAGATATAAAATCCTCCCATAGCTAAGACTCACAAGCTAGCAAAGAGGTACGCAGACAAGGGAAGAAAAACAGCCACCTACAATCGAAACAGTCGTGAGAAAAAGGAAGAGGTGCATACGCAATGAGGAACGCAGCAATGATCGCCCTTGTGCTGCAAGTGCCGCTGCTGTGCCAACCAGTGGGCTGTGAGGCAGCGGTGCAGTGACGACAGGCACGCCAGGCATTCCCTGCAAGCCAGGCATGCCTGGCATGGCGGGCATGGTAGGTGAGGCGTCTCGCGCCTGGCCGCGACGCAGAAGCTCCATGTTAGCTGCCCTTAGCTGGAGGGCGTCTGCTCTCAGCTGGGGAGAGGAGCAAGGACGGCGACAGAGAACAACAACAGTGAGAATGTTTAGTGAGAGACGTTGAGAACAAGGCAAGGCAACGATCTCAGGTGCGAAATTCAAAACAAAGTAGGTGCAGAACTGAGGAAGCAACGTCATGCTTGCTTACTTGAGAGGTCTCTGCGTGTGCCTGCTGCAGCTGGCTGGCGACGGAGTTGTAGCTCCCCAGCAGCCCCTGGAACTGCGCTGATATGCGCTCCACATATCGCTCTAATTCTGCCAGCCTCTGCTGCTCCTTCTCCCCAAGCACCTGCTCACGCTGCCACGCCTCCTGCCCCTGCCGCTTTGCCCTGCCAGCCACACAACACAATTTACATGACAAGTGTGAGAGGCGAGTGGAATTCTAAAAACTGCGTCAAGAGAAGAGAACGTGGGTGAGATTATGGGGGAAAGAAGGGTCGGAAAAGGGTTGAGAATCACCTATTAGTGACCGTTGATGTATCCATTATATTCCCCCAGTCAACACCCTCCAGCACCTGGGAGAGACAGCAGGCACACACACATACACAAGCAAACACACGCACGCATGCAGATGCGTGCACACGCACGCATGCAGATGCGTGCACACGCACGCACATGCAACCACGCACATACACGCACACCAAAACACACAAACAGAGGAGCACATAATGCAAGTAATGTCGTCAGTAAAATCCGGTGACAAAACTGGAGGGCAGTGTTGAAAACTCAATCTCATCAAACAGTCATTGAAAAACATCAGAAGGGCAAGCTACCTTGTGCTGCAGAGGGGAGTCATTCCTCGCATGGCCCAGCTCCGCCACTGCCTGCTCCGCCTTAATCTTCCCCTCCATGGCCCACACCAGTTCCGCCTCCAATGCCCTCTGCCACCCACACAGCCAGGCACAGAGCAACACACAGCAGCATCAGCAACAGCCACTGTCAGGCAAGGCTGGGGAAAGAAAGATGATAAGCCACTACTAAAGAGACATGCCAGCAAAGGCGCAGAGAAGCAACTCCATTGCATACCTGTGTGAGCTTGAGGTCCTTGATTTCATGCCTGAGCTTCTCTGCAGAGCCCTTGCACCTGATGCAGAACCTCCCTTCCTCCACTGGCACTTCCCACCCCATGGGCGCCTGAAACTGCTGCTCCTGCACCTGCTGCTGCTGCTGCTGATGCTCGCCTTTAGCCCTCCGCAGGTTGGAGCAACTCTGCAGGCCGAACGAGCTCCAAATCCTCTCCTGCAGCCCAAACGCACCACCTGCATCACCCCAGCCACTCCCCTCGCCACCGCCACCAGCGCCGGCATCAGCAGCAGCATCCGCAATCATATCCGCATGCCGCTTTCCCAAAAGTCCCCACCCCTCTCCCTGCTCAGCCGCCACAGCCAACCCCAGGCCCCTCCCTGCACCAGCACCGCCAGCTCTGCCTAAACGCTGGGGAAAATCCTCACTTCCTGAAACCATCAGACCTCCCACTCCTGGTAAGTCAAGAGCAAGGGATGCTGCTGCTGCTGCTGCTCCGCCCTCAGCAGCACCAGCATCTGCTCTCCGCGGCATGTGCAGCTTGCGCCCATCCTCGTCATACCCCGCACCCAGCATCCTCCCACGTCCGCTGAGTCCATCCAAATCACCACGGTCAAAACCCAGGGACACAGGGACACTCCCTAGCCCTGGTACTTCCTCCGCATCTCCACCGTCGTCGCTGCATGATTTGCCTTGATCTGAGCCGTCCAATGCTCCAGCAGCAGCAGCAGCATCGTGGCTGTCATCTTCCAATAGATCCATGGGCATGTAGCTCATGAGGGAGGGCGACTCCGGATCCATGTCCTCTGCCTCCACGTCAGCACCGACGCCACCATGATGATGACGTGGCGGTGGAACATTCACGTGCAGCTCAATTCCAGACTCCACCTCTGCCTTCACAGAACTAGCTGACTCGCCTTTCTTCATCTGAGAGGTGAATTGGCCAGCAAGGAACAGGCTACACTTCCAACAAGTGATCGGAAAGAAAGGTTAACCGGATGGAAGGCAGTAACCCTGTACAACCAGGGTGACTTTAGGAGCCACGGGCGTGTTGTCTCCCAGGTAACTTAATTTCCAACCCTTGAAGCTAAGTCTTCAATGGATTGATAACTTGAAGCTCGGCACGAGGTTGATGCACACCGTCTTCAACCTTCAGGCATCCACTCACACGGCTGCCAACCGTTTGTCCGTTTGTCTTGTCAGTGCGATGCAGGTGATTAATGTTGATGCAGACGATAACTTACAGCCTGCACGCCATGCAGCTGTCACGACCGAAACCCCCTGACACTGCTAAGAAGAACCGTGGACCGGCACAGTGAGCCTTCTACCCAGGGACCTGCCAGGAACCACATGGAGTAGATTAACTAGGGTCTTAGAAAATACATAGATATGGTCGATGTGAACGAGATTTGAAGAATCTGAATCTAACAGATATACCTTCGAAACACTTATTCGGAATCTACAGCGGATAAGACGCTCTTACCTGTGGACTGAATCCAGTGGGAGACGATGCGCGTGCCGCCGAGACTCGACGTTGCTGAAAGAGCACTGCGTGCGTGTCTTCCGAGAAAGAATGCGTAAGCGTTTGACAGCACCAGTTAACAGCCTCGTCCTGTCGCCCGCTTGACGGCTACTCCCTCCAAGCAACCTCGTGCTTCAACCCGCCTCATCCTCGGCGGAAAAGGAAAACCCCAGCGCCTATGAATCTGGAAACCTCCTGTCCCGTATCGCGTCCTCTCCTGGACGCAGCTCGCCTCTCTCCTCTCTCTCTCTCTCTGCCTCATCCGGCATATGCGTCGCACATGCCATGCTCTCCTCTTCCTTCCGCGCACACCATCTCGCCATTCCATCAGGCAGTCGCGTCGGCTCCGCTCAGCCAGGCTGTTCGAAATTCCCAATGCCATGTGGTGAGCCACCACGCCCATTCCCCAGTTCCCCCCTCGAGCCGCATTCCCTGCCCCCTTTCAGTTCAAGCGGCGCGGACATTGACCCTCCCTCAACTTGCTGTGTAGCCCGAACCTTGAGACTGTCTCGTAAGCGAGGAGGTTGGGTCCCTAGACAGCTGTCGCCGGGAGAAAATCGACGTGGCATCGGGACACGAGAAGTGAATGCGTGACACGTGTAATAGGATTTGCGCGACAGGACGAACCACTAGTAAGAAGTGACACGACCTTTTGCAGCATACTGCTCAGCTCAATGCGAACATGCAGAGAGGAGGTCCCAAGGCTTCCTGCCAACGTGATCGGAAGGGTGCGAGGCGCGGACAGCAAAGGCTGCAATAAGCTAGAGAGAGTTTTGTACACTCATTCCGAACAGATTTACAAATCAACTCACAACACTGAAAAAAATCAAGGAATCCAGAACTGACAAGTTTGCACGTAAAAAGTGTACATCGGTGTAGAAGGGAAATATTCGTTTTAGGTGTCAACTACTGAAACGGTACTGGAGCATGACAAAAGAGAAAAAATTAAGGGGCTCCTTAGCCCTTAAACCTGTACTACTACTACCAAACGGAAACAGACAGGATCCTTTCACGACAAGAACAGGGATCAAGCCCTGACTAGCCAGCCTCCGGCCGAAGCACATCCTTCCAGCACGTGCCTTAGCTTAACCAAGCCACAGCAACCAGCCAGCAAGCTCGAGCCCAAATCTAGGCTCTGACTCAGAACAGGAACTCTTTACAGAAGCTGGGCCACATCATTGGGCAGCTCCTCAATGACTGTGTTGTAGAAACGCTGGATGTCCTGAAGCATGCGCTCATCATCCTTAGTCACGAAGTTGATGGCAACACCCTTACGACCAAACCGCCCTGACCGACCGATACGATGGAGGTAGTTCTCAGGCTGGGTGGGAAGATCGTAGTTGATGACAAGAGACACCTGAAGGAAGAGGGGAGAAAGGGAAGGAACAGATCAGCAACCAGGTTTTCATGCTACCACACCTCCATGGATGGAACATGAACACCACGGGATAATGCTGACCAGGAATAGGGATGCTTCAGGAACAAGGGATGCACTTCAGATGAAAAAACATATAAGCCAAAGCATCAGCATAATGAATCAAAGCAGAAAGCTGTGAACCCACCTGCTGCACGTCAATGCCACGTGCCAGCAGGTCAGTGGTGATGAGCACACGGGACGAGCCAGAGCGGAACTCCCTCATGATGATGTCACGCGTGTTCTGGTCCATGTCACCGTGAGTGGCCGACACAGTGTGGTCACGGCTGCGCATCTTGTCCGTGAGCCAGTCCACCTTGCGACGAGTGTTGATGAAGATGACAGACTGCACACAAGACGAGAACGGGTGCAGACAAGCAAAAAAGGGTTCAGGAAAACTGTCAATGGGAACAGATCAATCGCAATTAGGGTTTCAGAAAAGATTCACGTACAGCACTCCTGGCAATCTCAACAAAAGAACCAAAAACGAGTGGAAATCAACTGTCAAAGGAAGGAGGACATTTGCAGAATTCATAAGACACAAATACCTACCTGGGTGATGGCAAGAGTCTCGTAGAGATCGCAAAGCGTGTCCAACTTCCACTCCTCCTTCTCAACGTTCACGTAGAACTGCTTGATACCCTCCAGGGTGAGCTCGTCACGCTTCACAAGAATCTTGACGGGCTTGTTCATGAACTTGCGGGTGATCTCCAGCGCTTCCGGCGGCATCGTGGCGGAGAAGACGCCGACCTGGAGCTTAGGCGGCAGCAGCTGGAAGATGTCGTAAATCTGCAACATGGACGCGACATTGTCGAAACGGTAAGGAATTACACTATGTCGACAATGTTTCACCGTCGGCAATGTATAGAAGTAATGCTGCTCCTAGAGCAGCAGGATTGAAACCGCGGATTACGGACCTGGTCCTTGAAACCGCGGGAAAGCATTTCGTCGGCCTCATCAAGCACGAAGCACTTGATGTGGTCCGGACGAAGGGAGCTACGACGCAACATGTCGTACACGCGACCAGGAGTACCCACCACCACGTGGACACCAGCCTGCGAACACAACGAAAAAGAAAACATGTTGAGAAGTTGCGGAGACGAAAGATAATCAGTCTCGACGGAATCGAAAGAGACACGGACCTGGAGAATACGCTGATCCTCGCGAACGCTGGTACCACCAACGCACGCATGAACCTTGACCTGGAGGTAATCGCCCAGCGCGCGCATGACCTTCTCAATCTGCTGCGCAAGCTCACGGGTGGGTGCGAGAACCAGAGCCTGGCATTCGAGCAGCTTGTAGTCCAGCTGCTGCAGCACGCCGGAACAGAACGTCGCCGTCTTGCCGGTTCCGGACTGTGCCTGCTGAATCACGTCCAGGCCCTTGGCAAAAGGCACAATACCGCGCTGCTGGATCGCGGAAGGCTTCTCGAAACCTGTAATGTTAAGGTGTAAAAATTCGGTGACAAGTAAATAAAGCATCCTGGGAAGTAGAGGCTGATGCTATGGACGAGGTTCGATGCCATTGTAGCAAATTTACGCCTTCCCGGTTCCTTAGTGGTTCTCAGGATCATCGTTTCCTACGTTCTCTCGGTAAAAAACTTACCGTAAGCGTAAATCCCACGGAGAAGGTTCTCGTGAAGACCCATGATATCGAAGCTCTCGTGCACCTCATCCCAGGTGGAGATGAAGTCTTCGCCCTCGCTAGCAAGCCTGCACAACGAACGACAGACAACGGAAACCGTATCGGTGCAATTGTTAAAGTGGGTTTATAATCACGCGTACTTCACGAACTGTTCTGGCATGATGCACCAACAGCCAGGTGCAAACTATATCGAGACTCGGTGAAAGACTAATCCGCAAAACCTGTAGGCTAGCTAAGACTCTAAACTTACACATCTGCCATTTTGCTGTCATACTGCTTCGCATCGAACTGCGATCCTTCAGGAGCCATGCCAGCCATGTTGAAAAGCTTTCTTGAAAAACAAGAACGCGACTGAGCTTGCACTGTAACAGGTGAAAGGGATCCGGGAGAGAAACAATAGAATGAAGATTTTTAAAAGAAATGGAACCTGCACAGGTGATCTAAGACGCCTCCCCTTGTTGGAGTAACAATCAAAATTAAAGAAACATCCGTTCCTCGACAACCATCACTACGAGAAGTAACAAGGAATTAGGGTTGGTTGCGAGACAAGGAAACACTATGCTGGGGTTTAGCAAGGACTTACGGGAAGGCCTGGGAAGAGCGTAAAGAACGTCTGAAGGGAGCTTGAGAGAGCAGGAAAACTAGGCGCAGCCTTGCCTGGCTTAGGCGCGCAAGAGGAGTTGAAGTGATGGAAAGGTGGAGTATGTAAGGAGAGGCACGGGGGGGAGGGGATCGGATCACCGAAGGAAGCGTGAAAGAGGGGAGGGATGGGGCAGGTCACAGGTTCCGATAAGCTGGGCTGGTAACCACAAGGAGGCTTGGATTGCCTTGCGCATGGCTCGGGGCCTTGGCTCTGCCACACGGGCAAAGGACGAAAACTTTCTTTCAGAGCTTTTCTGCCACGGGTTTGGATCAACGGCTGGATCTGAAGTTGCAACGGGCGAGCAATCATCGCGTGGATAACGAAAGGGTGGTGGTTGCTGTGGCTGACCACCCCGAAGTGAAAATCCCTTGGGGCGAGGTGAGTGGTTGATGCCCTCGGATCTGGGCAACAGTTTCTTCACCGCCACCGCCACCACACCTTTCACGGGCAGAGAAAAGACATTGGAGTATTGCCACGTCAGACCAGAAAGGGCACAGAAGAATGTTCAGCATCTCGAAAGGCCAGAGAAAGTGCAAGCCAGCATCCCCAATATAGCCCTCCCTCATTACAATTACAGCATACCAGTGTTCCCAAAAAAAAATCCATAACAAAAACACATGATCATAACAACGGCACATGTGAAGATCCTCGCCGCTGCAACAATTGTGCTGTACATACACGAGAGTGGCAATCCTCAGGGTGAT